AATGAAAATGACCTCAACCTACTTTAGAGGTCACAGAGGTCAACAACATTTTAATGGATTTGTTCTTGAGAACTAAAAGGAATGGATTCATAAGATTTGGCTGGTAGCTTTTTGGAATAGAGCTAACCAATTTGAGAAGGAAAATGACATTGACCTACTTACAAGATCACAGGGAAAAATATGTCAAGCAACTTCTGAAGAAGAATAAAAAAGCATAGAATCTTATAATAATATTTTGCTGGTAGTTTCAACAGATGGAGCCAACAAAGTTTGCAAGGGAAATATTTATAGTGCAATATAATATTTAATGAGAATATTTTGCTATGACTGCTTAAATATTCAGGTGAGCGATACAGGCCCTCTTGGGCCTCTTGTTACTTCCTGCTAAATGACTCGACTATAAAACTCATTTATAATGAAGGGACCAATGGTCGTTGTGTCATGCAGTTTTCAACTAGTTACCATAGCACATATAATTGATAACACAAATATTTTTATAACAGTATTGGACACTGTTCAAAATTTTAAAAAACAGTGGTTTGAAATATAGTTAAAATATTTTGAATTGAAATGAAATCTCAACACTTGTAAAACATTTAATGTTATTGTGTTCTTCTGTGTTTTTTCACGGAACTCGCTTGGATAAAGAATGAAGTTAATATTTTAAAATTAGGTCATAGATCAAACCTGAATAGTGACTTGTTTTATTGTTTATTACAACAGTTCCGGTTGGTGCTGGACCATCTAAGTATCGATACCTATCGAGGAAGTGAATCTCTGGTATGTATCAATTTTCCCTAACAGATCTATAGTCTATCAGTTCTGAGCAGCTATATAGGTACAATGTTAACCCTACTATTTTTGCCCCACTAAATCCTGTCCTCATATGACCTTGGCTGTTCCGAGAATGTTAAATATCAAACAAAGCACCACTAAATTTTCACATTGCCTCTTACAAAATGTACCTGGCATACACTCTTTTTTTTATTTGGCTCTCCCTTTTGAAATTTTATTTGGCATATTGGAATATAAAATCATCCATTTGTTGAATTGCTCTCTTAATGAAGGACAAAAATTAACTAATATTTTTAATCATATTTTATCTGAAAGTGTTTTTGTAATTTTTGTCTAATAGAGCATACATTTTGTCTAAAATTCATTTGTCGTTTTGTCTAATAGAGCATACATTTTGTCTAATAGAGCATACATTTTGTCTACATACATTTTGTCTAATAGAGCATACATTTTGTCTAATGGAGCATACGTTTTGTTTAAAATTCATTTGTCGTTTTGTCTAAGTGCACATACATTTTGTTTAAAACTAAACTTGTGTCTTTTGTTTGAAAGCTGATTTGAACCTTTCTCTAAAGAGTACATCTGTTTAGGGAGAATCATTTTTTCCGTAATGTAACCTTGGAAGTTCACAATTTTTTCGGAATTGTATTAGAAGATTCATAACAAATTCTTTGACAATGATGCTTGGTTATAATTACAGGTATGGCTGTCACAACAGGAGCCAGATTGTCTGAAGACAGGTGTTAGGTACCACAGTTCCACTGATGTTTGGGGGAGCACCACTGTTCTACCTGTACAGGTATACACAGATTTCTCTGACTAAAGTCTTTTATAGGAAAATCTCTCATTTGGGTAATCAATATATCAAGTTGAAATACCTAGAAATAAACTGTAATGGGACCATCACACAGATACATAGATAAAATTGAGTGTTCAAGATATATTTTTTTTTATGAAAAATACAGAAAAATGATGCATATATACATTGTACTGAAATGTAAACAGCTTTATTTACATTTGCATGGCATTGTCACTATATAGCCTCTTTTAAAGCTGTGTCGTTGATGGGACTTTAATTACCATGCCGCACGAGACATACTTACCATGCCGCACGAGACACAATTCTTAGCGTATTAATTACAACACTGACCGGAACTACAATATCCAACGTAAATAAACATGACGGCTGCTGAAATATCGCTGGGCATTGTGAGATTTGATAATGTCATTTTAAATTTATGTGCAAAATAAAAAACAAAATAAAAAACACTTTTATTATAACGAAAACAAGACCAAGGTCTGCAATATCGTACAAAATGCACATCGGTTGAAATCACCAATGCCGGCAATGGAAACAATTTTAACGCTCATGCAATTTATCAGAAATATCGTCTGTTACACTGCACTGATCAACAGCGGTTCGTTATAAATGTCTGAAATACACATATTCTATAGACCTACTGACACATATGTTACAGACCTACTGATATGAGTCACAGCACACATAAACATTCGTCATTTCAGACATTTGTAACGAATCTGTGCTCCGTTGCAAGATCACTCACTTCAAACGCTATCAGTTTCACATTCTCGGATCCACGGTTCCTTAGTTTCAGAAGACATGTCAAATATCGATGCTGTTATAGAATCTACCGACTGTTGTCGGGTTCCAATACAATCAACAAATACATTCACGCCTGGATTCTTCACAAAATGAGCAAAGAGAAAAGTTCGAATTAACTTCCAAAAATAACTCCCTTGTGGAGGTCAAGGTCCCTCCTATTCACGGTGTTCACTGTATTTATCCATGCGCGAAATTTGTTCCGGGGGAAAATCGAAACAATTTCAAATCTAACTTTCAGCTCAGATTTCTATTGAAGAACTGGAATCACCATATAGACATATCATACGCAATTGTATTGATACTAAATTGTGGAATTAATTTGAAGTGTTTGTTAAACTGTCAAAGTACTACTTTGTTTGCCAATCAGCACGCGACAATACGCTGTTCAAACTATTGAATGAAATTGTTTGGACTGTCGATAAGGCGGGCATTTTTAATTTTAATTATAAATTATAAGTTAAAAACGAAGATAAGAGGCAGAGAAAACGTAAATATAGCGCATTATGTTGTTTGCCTGCAAAGCTGTGTCATTCAAATAGATCATAAATACCATACAAAAACAGTTCAATGCTTAAGTGTACTTGTTAGTGATTCAAATTAATGAATTAATTCACAACATTCAAGACTGAAAATACAGTAAAACATTTTATGCTGCCACCACTTGTCCAAATTTTGTTTGGTGTTATAAAGGCTATTAGGGGTTTGGCAATAAATTGAGGGAAATGTATAAAAGAATTCTTGAGAAAACAAGAAAAAGGGACATTGAGATATGTTTGTGGTAAGTGAGGTGGCAAATGAAACCAGGGGCTTTACGTCACTGTTTTAATGTATGGAAACTATTTAAAGTAAGAAGTGTGACCATAACCACTCCATTATGCCCTTTCTTTAACGTTAAATGATAAACCATTGTTAACTGGAGTTTTGCCAAAAAAAACACCGCTCAATGACAATTAAGATGAGGATGTATGAAACAACGTTATCTAATGTTATCAATAAATGCCTCCCTGTTCTTCACACCATCTGCTCAAATATTCATCTATGGAAGAACCCTCACATAAAAGTATGAGTCTCCTGATAAGGCCAAATGAAAACAATCCCTGTGTTTCCGCTAATCGTACCTACCCTAGATTTTTGTGCCTACTCTAAAGTTTTTATTGACATTTAGAGATATGCACTGTTATAGTCAGAACTCCTGATCTATATTAGCATAGTAAAAATATTTATCAAAATAAAATTAAAAAAATATTAGGATGATGGAGGAAACACAAGAATTTGTTTTTTGTAGCCTAAGAACAATTTAGAGTGGTAGATAAACAAAAAGCTGTTCAAGAGTAGGCCTAGAGTAGACAAGGTCAGTTGACAGGTCATTTTCATTGAAACAGGTAGAAAGGAACATTTATTTGGAGGGGAAGGTCTATTTCAGTAACAACAGCTGGTAAATACTGCTGGTCAGTACATATGATTAAACACCCTTTAATGACCTTAGTTGTTAATAGGAAGTTAAACAAAATAAAACCAAACATTGGATCAGAAATTCAATGGTTCTCTAATGTTTTCTCATTTTGATCTTGAAAACAAAGTTAAATTTTACTTCATCAGCTAATACATTTCTTGAATGCAAAGTAACTTTGATGAAAGTGAATTTTTTTCATTACACTGTATCAAATTCAATGATACAAAAATTGATAAATTATTTCTTTCTACAGGTAAATTTTACTTTGGAGGAGTCTTTTAAGGTATATGAAGAAATGAACAACCTTTACAAAGGGTTCAAGGAGAAGTACAAGAGTCTGGATAAATGCGACAAAAGAAAGCATCTGGTGACCTAGATATACACAATTACATTGTCTCAAGATCTTCGATTAAATTGATCCTACCTCATTTGTGTTACGGAGAAATTGTCATCACAGGTTTTAACTTTCGTCTTTTTCGCCATCCATAATTACAAGGAATTTTACATGATAACGAATATAAGTACATTGTAATCTATATAACTAATTACATCTGAAGGGCAAAATCAACACTGAGCAAATATCGATTTTACCAAGTTGAATCTTTGAAGGAACTGTGCTGTGATACATAGTGTGTTATTCATTTTGAAATGTTGTATTGATAAGGTGCTGTAACTAATTAGATATTGTATTTATATAGAATCTAGTAATATACCAGTTAATGAGATAATATGAGACATCCACTTAGCCAAATGCTTTCAGTTTCAATAGATGTAAATTAAATGGGGACTGACATTTCATTAATAGCAAACTTGCCAACTCTCCCTATTTTGGAGGGAGACTCCCATTATTGGACCCTAAATCTGAACAGTTGAAATCAGTAAACTTGCTAAACTATTTGTATATTCTAAGAACTAACAATTTTATCTGAACGAACAACTCAAAACATGCCAATCTAAAGTGTTATTTTGCCAGCAGTGGCTATTTTCACATATATTCTATTTATATTTTTGATTCTGAGCATGCAGAATCTAGATCTTCCTCATCGGAAATTTCAAAACGTTGGCTAGTATGTAATAACTTAGAGGTTAAGGAATGTAAACTGCAAGCATTACTGCTAGACAACTGATGATAGTCATACAAAGATAGACCTGGTACTATAGGTTGGTACTTGCTTTATTCACTTTAACAAAAGATGGTGCCAAATGAAAAACCCAGCAAATATTAACACCATTTATTGCTGAATAATGATGATAAAATAACAGTTTAATATTGTATTTTGCTATATTTTCGAAAAACGATTGTAAAATAAATCTCATCATACGAAGATCAAAGTGATCTCTCGGGTACGATACTTTTTCCTGGCCATGTTTTGCGAAATTTAATCCCGATGAAGTAGTTCTGATCAGAACACAACCGTGAAATGTTAGCCTGGCAAAATATAAACCACTATCAGTATACCATGTACTTCGCTTTTACTGGTAAAAATGTAGACAGTCAATAATTAAGTTTTATTAATGATTAAAAGATTAAATAAATATATGATAACTCAAGAGGAGAATTGCCTAATCTTAACAAGCATCAGTATGATATTTAAGATTTTGCCAAATATAACAACTGGAAAGGAAATCTTTTGTCTTTAAAGGTTGATAAAATCTCTTGCTTCCATTTATACTAATTTGTTGTAAAATATAAAATCATCTATGTAAAACCTTGTTTTGTCATTGTATTGATATCTTTATTTAAATAAAAATAGAAGAAAACTATTTCCAAAATGTGTCTTTCATCCAATTGGAGAACATTATAGAAATCATGTTAAACTTTGTTAGTTTCTGATGTTTTAGTATATTCTGTTATTTTCATTAAAGTGCTGTCTTGTCTGTCTAGTGTAAGCATGATTTCTACATTTAGAAACGAAACATATTTATGCTCACTTAAATGATCTGACTTTGCATATGACAAAGTTGTACATTTGCTAAATATGATGAAATTATATTTTGATTGTCAAAACTTTATTCTTGTGAATCCATATCTGTTGTTTGTTTTTGTGTAGATAATTGGTCTGATTCTAAATACAATTAACTTCATTTGTATTGGACTTAATTTATTTGTCAAATGAAATGAAACAGTTATATTTGGTTGATGAGCTTGATGTTTTGAGCTTTGGCTCGCCTGTCTTCCACAATTGGCCAGAATGAATGGAGATATTTTACTTTGAAAGTCAAATGCCATGAAATTCATTTCGGCCAAGCTTCATTACTTTCCATAGTAATACATTCATTTTTTGTTAACAGTTTAAATATACATTGTCTAGAATAATATAATTTTAAGATGAACAGTTTGTCCAGTAAAATGATACATGTATTTTAATTTTACTTTACCACAGGGACTCTTAAAAAAATATTTTATACGAAACCATTACTTTTGTTATTTAAATGGAAATAATTTGATCATTAAATGGAAACAGTTTGATTGAATGTGTTTTGTTTTGTATACCAAAATAAATGTGTGTATTGAATTTTGATCCAAATGGCAATGGTGCTCCATGTCTGTCAGCTATCAGCTTTAATGGACTACTATAGTCCATAGCATCTAAATGTATTTCAAGTAAATTTGGCATACATTCTAGAACAAGAGAACTAAACGTGGTATAAATGAAGGGTGCTTCCCACCACCAAAATATTACGGCAGCAAGATTGTGTCCGAACAGATATTTAAAAGACTATTCCTCAAGTACAGATGAAAGGAATTTACCTAAATCTGGCATGGATCATCTCTGAGCCAAGAAATTCCAACGTTGTATAAATGAAGAGTGTGGACCCCTTTAGACAGAGGCAGGGCATCTAAGCGTAATTACCTCCTTGTGATAGTGCTGATTTGATGCCGACTTTATAGTGCTATCTCACTGAAATACCATGCCGAAGGCACTCGGCACAGCATTCCTCGCTTTTGTGTCCCAAAATAAAGGACACAAAAACAAATCGCCAATTCTACAAGGGGTTCCCACATTTGTCGCCTCTTATGATACATGCTGTGGGTAACAGCAGGTGCATTCTTTTCTCAATCCCCCACCAGCAGGGGTGTTCGTCGGGAGAGACCTAGTTCTAAGGAACTAAACATTGCATTATTAAACCAGGCCAGTTTCCATTGAGACAAAAGAACTGCGTCAAACATGGGAAATTTTGTAGAAATCATTGAAAAGACTACTTCGGTAGGAAGAAGTGATTTTAATTTAATTTGGTCTGGAGCGAAAATCTATGTATTCATTAATGAATGATGTAGCCCACTTGTGATCAGAAGGTTGCTCCCAATTCGACTTCTTAAATACGGGTAAAGGAATTTTAACCTGATTGGGCGTAAATTACCATTTGTCAAGAGGACTAACTGTTGTATAAACGGAGCATCTTCTTAAGAGGCGATAAGCGAATTTTGGCAATTAAGTCCCCAAAATGAAGTTTGGTAACTTGTATAACACCGCTTCTTCTTCTTCACCTCGCCGTAAACTTGTGAGCCGCTCATTTTCTCGCAAACAACAAGTCAGATTCAGATAAAACTTAAATCTCATGATAGTTGGAGCACATACCTAGATCGGCATCATTTTTTTATTTTTATTTTTTTTATTTTGTTGCGGCTGCGCATCCAAGATGTCCGCCACAGCATTTGGTCGCATGGTGGTCCACTGTTTTCTCGAAAACTACTTGACAGATTTCGGTGAAACTTCACAAGAGTATCGACCATGCGTAGAGTTACCACATTTTTGTATATGACAACTGCGCATACAGGTTGGCCGCCGCAGCCTCTGATTGGTCGAAATTTATATATTGCATGACCTATTTCTGTAAATTTTCGTTTGTAGGAATATGATGCCTTTACAAGCAATACATTTGTATCGACTCTTCTTATTTAAAAAATGTTCTTTATATACTAATTGGTACAAAAATATTTAGCTGCCGAAGTGTCGAGAACCTTAATACCAACAACATTCGGATGAACTTTGGATGTTGTTCAAATATATGTTTTGTCATATAATATACACAGCTTTGAATAACTAGTAAAATCCATGATATTTTTACATGCAATATTTATTGCAAAGTTTCACAGCTGATCCACTCAATTCACTTGAATCGGTCAAATGTTTTGATTTTGTTGTGGATTTGTTAATGTTATCAGTAATTCATGTTATATTCATCTAACTAATCGGTCGGCTGTGGACCGACCGAGCTGTGCACGTTTAACTTGACCGCTGTTATCTATAATAGATCTTATATTCCTTACACCTGTTTCGGACTACACATTCACAAGACGGGTTGGCAAGTAAGTTTCCAAGAGAATTAATATTGTCGACAATAATCAGAGCTGGTATTTCATATTATATTTTGAATTATTTCTATACTCGTATGTCCTGTTTATATTATTAGATTTATTCTCTTTGCATGGATTTAGGGTTCAACACGCCCCCTTGAAGGCAGTATAATCACACTAAATTCTAACCACTTGATAAGTCCTAATTAAAGACCCCAAATCGAATATTAGAATTCAGATATAAGAATTTTGATTTATTGAACTTGTGTTTTAGCTATTAAAATGGTGTATAGCGACCTTAACTTGGTCAATAAGGCATTGGGCTAATGTAACGTCTTAATCAAAATAGTTCACAATAATTTAACATGTAAATCATTTTGCAACCTAAATAAATGCAAAGAAATGACGTATTATCTAAAGATCATTTATATACATTAGTCATGCGCAGCTTAATTTTTCCGTTTTTCCTTATTCTAGTCGCAAATCTAGTTTGGTTGATTTTGCCATACAGAAGCAGTAAAATCATAGTTAACTTCCCCTGTAATATGTTTCAGCAAAATGACAATAAGAAATCGAAAGCTAAGTAACCGAGATTTATAAATGAACTTCAGATGATTTGAGTTAGATTTGTTATAAAATTTTATAAGTCTATTTTGTCTAGCATCGATAAGTAAACATTTTCTTCACGGTAACATGAACTTACATGTTTACATTTATATACCGGTTAAACACGTCACTGTAACATTTAATTTCCCTATAGCTATTGTTGTTCCAAAGAATCTCAAACAAATCGATTAGAAGCGGTATACTTCTACAGCTAGTAAAAGAGAACTCAATCTCCGCTTAACCTTTGTTTCTAAGAGGACTTTTCGATAGTATGTCATTTCACTACTGCACATATAATGAGGTTAATGGTACCAAATGCCATAAGATTGATATAAACTCACATCACATGATTGTAGATGTGAACCAGTTTCTAAGTACTCGTTCAGTTTAAACAGTGTTTTATTCAATAATCAAGCAAGGTCATTATTTACATGCAATTTCAGAGGCCTTGACATAAGATATTATGTCAGGGCCTCTGAAATTGCATGTAATATCTGTGCCAGTATTCAACAGGTAGGAGGCGAATAATATCTTTTATTGTGACAGACACTGAAATAACCCAGTTTTAAATGGATGATTTTGACAACCTTAACGTAAATTTTGTTTTTCATAAGTGGCTTTAATCATACCTGTTTTTGGATTGCTGTTTGGCTTCATCTGCTCAGGTAGGTTATCAATATGTACTTGATTAACATTCAACGTCTGTTGCAATTGTAGTTGCTGCTTTTTCCCATGTGTTTTTGCAATCTGAAATAATAAGTGTAAATCAATCTGAATATTTTCAAAGACATGTCTGATAACATACAATTAATTTAACCCTGTTAACTAACCAAAGTTTTTTTTTAATCATGAATACAATGGAATATCGATATCCAGATAGACAGGAAGTCGGTCAAGAAATGATGTCGTATTTTTACCAGTAGTCCTCTTCTTGAGATTCATAAAAGTAAGGATTTTTACGCACACGCCCTTCTGTATCAACAGTAGTTCAAATCAATTTGGAATTCCAAACTAATCGTTCCTAGCAACAACGAAGAGTTCAGAAGGACGACATAACTGGACGGTTCAACGAAATTCATTTCTATTGCCAAATGTTAAAGGTGCAGCTCGATGTGTGCATCTTTGGTTCATCTTTTATTGAAACGCATCTGTTTAGGCAGTTATAATTCATTCACATTTTATAAACAGATACGATGTCTACCATTGTTTTGATTTGGAACAGTTATTATTATATGTGTTAACCGTTGTTCTGATTTGGAACAGTTATTATTATATATGTTAACCGTTGTTCTGATTTGGAACAGTTATTATTATGTATGTTAACCGTTGTTCTGATTTGGAACAGTTATTATAATATATGTCTACCATTGTTCTGATTTGGAACAGTTCTTATTATATATGTTTACCATTGGTCTGATTTGGAACAGTTATTATTATATATGTTTACCGTTGTTCTGATTTGGAACAGTTATTATTATATATGTTAACCGTTGTTCTGATTTCGAACAGTTATTATAATATACGTCTACCATTGTTCTGATTTGGAACAGTTAATATTATATATGTTTACCGTTGTTTTGATTAGGAACAGTTAGTATTATATATGTTTACCATTGGTCTGATTTGGAACAGTTATTATTATGTATGTTAACCGTTGTTCTGATTTGGAACAGTTATCATTATATATGTTAACTGTTGTTCTGATTTGGAACAGTTATTATTATATGTGTTTACCATTGTTATGATTTGGAACAGTTATTATTATATGTGTCTACCATTGTTCTGATTTTGAACAGTTATTATTATATATGTTTACCGTTGTTTTGATTTGGAACAGTTATTATTATATATGTTTACCGTTGTTCTGATTTGGAACAGTTATTATAATATGTGTCTACCATTGTTCTGATTTGGAACAGTTATTATTATATATGTTTACCGTTGTTTTGATTTGGAACAGTTATTATAATATACGTCTACCATTGTTCTGATTTGGAACAGTTAATATTATATATGTTTACCGTTGTTTTGATTAGGAACAGTTAGTATTATATATGTTTACCATTACCCTTTAGTATCTACAGCTGGTCCGCAGTGCTTTGCCTGTTCATCAATTTCTGCGCTGGAGTTTTGTGATCATTCTACACAGTGTGCAACAGGAGAGGTAACGTTATTGTACCATCTTGTTTTCCATAATGTTCACATTACATGCGGTTGAAACGCCGTTTTCTCCTGGAAAATCCTTTTTTTTTCATCTGTTCCATTCTTCCATTTCTGACATCTTTTTTTGTTTTTATTGAGTCATCTGTTCACACTGTTCTCGTCTTTTGTACCGATTTTGGTTTTGGAATTTTCCATGTGAATCTGAGGACGTGGAACATTTAATTTTCTGCTTTGCTTTTCCGCAGTTAACAATGTGATATAGCCTCTGTTAATCAACCAAAATGTTTGTATGGTCAGAAGAGTAAACGAAATATCGAGCGGAACGTTAAACTAATGGTATTAAAATATGCCAATGGTGAATTTGATATATGTTGGAGGTTTGGGAGGTGGCTAACAAAACGTGACAAGTTGTGAAGGGGTTTAACTAGTAGTACGTCATAGTATCATCGGAGCCCGTATTCAGGAAACCGTTCTCATGCTCAAGAATGATTTCTGTGCTCAGGCCGACTTTCTTGTAACTCACTTAAATAATTGACCACGGTCAAAATGTTAAGTGTGAACGTTGAAACAGTAAAAGGCTCAAAGTCTTTCCAATTTTCTTGCATATCATTGACAAAAAGACAAGATATGATTTTTTTACAATTTATCACTGTCAAAATGAATTGGGCTTGGACACATTATCTTGGTTTGAGCACGAGAATGGTCTCATGAATATATACAGATTAAGGCTTCTTTTTACAGATTCTTTAAACCTAATATGACATTGTCAGTAGTTTGGAATTTCCCCCGACACAAATTCAAATAACCTAATTTCTACGTTGGAAATGCAAACAATAATAACAAAATATAACTAGATAATTACACACAATTTTGTTTATGCTGCGCCCCAGTTCACTACCAAATAATGCATAAATGTTGTCAAACAATATTAACGATCATTCGGGAAGTATTGGAAGACACACTTTGATTAGTCAAAGTAATGAAATTATTATTCATGCACAACATAGCGTCAACAAGCTCGGAACTAAAAAAGAGAAGCAATTACAACAAATTCAGTAAAATGAGAAATATAACGCGAGTCTCCACAGAAAAGATTAAAACAATAACCAAAACAACTCAATCAAGAAATTACAAAACAAAAATCACCAAACATATTTTTAGGGACAAATTTCGGAGTGCATTTGAGTGGTGAAATAAAATGTAAGGATCGGAGGCAAAAACTGGGGTAGTTCGGGGTACTTGAAACATACAGGGTTTGGCCCTTAATACCGTAAACAGTTGTATCTTGATTCTTGTCGTTGTAAGATGTTTGCAAGTGATCAGTTTTACTTTGGTTGATATAGATTATATATCATCAAATTTGACTTGACTTTTTGTTTGTATCTCAGAAATGCTACATACATAAGACACGTACACACAACGGTCACGACCAGTACACGTCCGGGTGTATCAGCAACCAGGTATGTCACGTATATAATGAGGGTGAACAGTGTTTATATTGAACTGTTTTCTTCTGGCATTCATAGTCAATATAAATGCGAACTGGAACGAGACAAGTTCCATAAAGTCCACAAGCGCTTCATTTTGAACTTGTTACGATCTAGTTGACATGCATAGCTTCTTTAGTCTACATACCAAAAAACAGAGATAGTCTACATCTCAATATATTGATAATCTACACACTTATAAAACAATTAAATAGATAATGTTTCAGAAATTTTTCAGTCCGGGAACTCGCTCAATATTTTTGGTAAGTGTGTGCGTTATTGTTTATAATAGCTTGAATGTACCAAATGTTACATTTTTGAACGAGGTTGATTTATTTGCGAAGTTGTTTGGGTACACCTTTTTCTTGTTTGACTCTTTCGTTCGAACATTTGTGGTTATTTTTGTTTTCACAGAGTTGCTCCCTGGGCCAAACTTTTCATGGATTATCGCCATACGGACAGGTGACTTGTGTAGAGTGTTGTGACGGAGACATGTGTAACAACCAGGGCTGTGGGGATACGGGTTCGTAATTTTATTCGTTATGTTTTTAAAAACATGAATTTCTTCTTATGTCGTTCATTAAAGGACAACAGCTTTTTTTTCAGGCTCAATTGTTAATCAACCTGTTAATTAAAATATTTCGCCTCTGCGTTTGGTTCAAATCTGTATGATAAATTTCGGTAGGTTGGGTAATGGCGCCCTTTGACTTTGCGCTCTAAATTACGAACATTCAGCCGCTATGTAGCACAATAGCAGGTGCTTAAACTACAAGCAGTTTGCATTAAAATCTAGGTGTCAGGCTGTGAGATTTTTTTCTATTTATCAATAAACAATCTTATTATTCAAACAATTTAATGGAATGTATTTTATATTGTCTAGGAATTCGACGCAACAAATTGTTACGAGGCATTTGGCGATAAATATATTTAATAGCGTCCAAGATTGACGACCTCAGATTATTTCTTTCTTCTGCTCAGAGATTAACTCACTGTATTTATATCATGATATATTTATTTTCATCCTCCTCGAACGTGTTTGACGTAAAACGTTCTCTGACGAAATATTAATTCTTGTTTAAGGATAGTCTTTGGCATTGATTAAAAGGAAATGAAATTCAAATGATATTTTCATGCGGTTAATACTTGATTCTTACATCCTGAGAAAACACGTTGATTTATCTTGGACTGCTTTTCATGTTACTTATACAATCGTTTTAAATATTGCCTAGATCATGTCCTTAATTCTTATATTAATCGAAACTTAAATCCACGGTTGTTTCAATGTTTGCGATTTTACACACACCTCAGTAATCACCCTAATAAACAATGACCTTAGTCTATGATGGTCTGTATTAATTATTTCTACTATGTATCCTTAATTTTTGGTCTGTGGGAGATTTACGGGTTTGTCGCATGACATCTCAACTCGAGCAAATTTTTAAAAGCCATACTCTGGTTTTATATTAGTGTATGTTAGTTTAGAGACCGTAACGTCTTAAATTGATTGGATGCAGTTAAAACCAGGTAAGATGTAAATTTGGTCTCAATGAGATTTTACATGTTCGTCACATGGCGTCTCCGATCATGCAAATTCTTAAAAGCCATACTCTTGTCTTATAATAGGATATATGAGTTTAGATAACGAAACGTCTTCAACAGAATGAATGCAGTTTAATCCAGGTCAGATGTTTACAAACTGATCAATTGACGAGTCTTCTATCATTAAAGTTGAGATTTTTACTGGATAATATCATAACATATAATCTGTTAAGGTTTGAAACACTTCTTGCTTTTGTTAAAAATGTGGATTGCTTCACACTGTTTGGGACTTGCATCACAGTATACTGTTGTTTGCTCTTGTATAGGACCACCACCCCGCGAATCCCGGGGACCATACTGTTACCAATGTCAGAACATGCCGGGCACAAGCTACTGTGACACACTCACTCTTTGTAGCCGAAATCAGGTAAGCATGTCAAATTTACAAGTACGTAAGACACCATTCCTGAAATAAATGATACACTGATTACAAACAATAACACAAGACTGACTGCTTGGCTCTTTGCTTAATTGGGTTCTTCAGACGCCTGATGAAGCCAAAGAAGGCAAATATGCCTAACGGTCAGTCTTTTGTACTTGTTATTTTTCCTTCGCAAGAACTTGTTTCTTAATTATATACCATTATATGCATTTGTTTTACAATTTCGGATTTAAGTTATATTTCTTAAATCTGAACTTGAAATTTCGGCAAATTACAAAAGACCGACACTGATTGTATTATTAGTGCTTTACTTAAAAAGCCCCAATTACCAAAGCATTTTAGTAAATAAAATCAGGTTGTTGGTTCCGTTTTCTATGTAAATGTGTTCGTGTTATTTCTCGGCCACAACATTAGAATCATGTAAAGATTTCAATAAACGCTTTTATAATTTGTCAGCTACATTGTATATTTCACGCTGACTAATCCGCGTGTAAAAATACAGCCAACTATTACTCCTCTACTGGCAAGAATGTATGATGTATATACTGTAGAGTTTTTTGAATTTTGCGGGACTAATATTTCGCGGTTGCCCCTCTCAGATCTAGTTCGCGGTAATTAAACATCGTGCTACATGGCTAGGTAAAAACATCGCGTTCACGGGGGTACTTTTGTATTTGGGTGATGGGGTGGTTTGTTGGTTGGTTGTTTACATCATATCAACAGCTAAAGTCATTTCATGACGTGCCTCCATGTGTGTTGTGTATGTGTGCATATGTGTGTGTGTGCCGGGGGAAGGGTATATTGGTGTGTGATGGGTTGTTTTTTAAGTAAAATGCGTTATTGAATTGTTGTATTATCTTCATTATTGAGGTTAACGTTTTAAATATATCTTCCTTTGTGTCTCTAAACATATATTCACAGATATTATAATTCATGGTATTAATATTCGCGGGGTAGTACATTTCGCGCTATCTTCGGTGACCGCGGATATAGCATAATTAAACCCGCCGCAAATATTACGAACTATACATTAGATAAACGGACAATATTTATTTAGCCTTTAACTGTTTGTCGTTATTTTTTTTACTGAACATCGGGATATATGTTTGAAGCCGACATTGGGAGCAATATTCGCAAAAATTCCAATCATTCATATGGCAAGACCGTGATATGTCAGTCCTTGTAGCGGTAATAAACTCATTTTGAACAAAAAAGCGAATATCAAGTATCTGCTTTCGCTGTTTCGTAGTTCCGTAGTGGTTTAGGAATCACCAACTTAATCATTTACTTTATATGTTATTACTAAGTTTTTGGGCTTTCAGCTTTAAAATTTGAAGTTTAACATTAGTGCCAACTGTCTTTTAGAGTCATACATACATACATGACAAATGCTTCAAAGGGTATGTTTGACAGGTTTCATGGCATACAAGAGCGCTACATGCTTCTGCTTTTGACAACCGGAAGTTTACAAGCCAAACCGATGAAGCGGGACGGGAACACCCCTTAATTTGACCCCATATAAATCTGCCAATTAAAATTTACTTAAACTGTTCATTTTTCAAAGTTAAACATTTGTAGATTTCTTTCAATACAAAGTCTGTCAAAATCACACATTTAAATTACTCTGATACACTGCATTGAACCAGAACAAATGTTAGGTAGGGATTACAATCGTATGACACTTGCTGATTGGCTTATTTAGCTGTGAGGGTCGTTTAGGAATACCTCAAAGGCATTAGTCCTTGAAACATATTTTATTTTTGTGTAACATACAGTTGATACAGATTCACTAGTATAATCGTAATATGATCCCAGAGTTTATTGATAATACATGTTTGTAAAATATGTTTTGTAAGCGTTACATGTGTTTTATGCTTCCATCCGTTACCTTTTTTAGGCTTGTACGATTGACGAAACGTTTTCATCTGGGCACCACTTTGCAAGCGGTTGTCGACCTAAAGGAGTAAGTGTTTCTATACTTCGTTATCTGTTTATACACATGACTCGTTTATTGTTACACAAGAGACAAAAGAAAAAAAAGCATCTAACACTTTTTAGGTGAGATTGTATGACCAATTTTGTTGTTTGTATAGTTTAACCTACAGAGAGGTTCATCAAAAACAAACGGAAACATGCTACCGCTACAATATCTTCAAGTGAAACGTTGACTTCAGCAGAACACATAAATTATCTTTTCTCGATGGTTGATGCTGTTTTGTTTTAATATCATAGTCAAATAAAGTCATTGTCAAATCCGTGTATGCAGGTACAAACGTAACTGTGCTGAATATATGATATGCCTGGCTCAGGATTTTCTTGCCTGGATGATTGATCTTTCTATTTTATTACATTTTCGTCATTAAGGTTTGAGTTTAATTTTTTTTAACGAGATTTTCATAGCCAAGGTTATTTAAGGACGTGCCTCCATGTGTGTATGTGTGCTTTAGAAAGAGTTTGTTGGTGTATCTGCCTCCTTGAGATAGCACAGACCTGATGCCAACTTTTGAGTGTTACCTTACATTTGGAATCTTACCTTTTCTCTTCTTTATAAACAACTTTCTTCTTCCTAATGTTTCACTTGACAATGCCTCACTTTTGGCCTTTAGTTAAGCGTTCGGCCTTGTGAGGAGGGCTTCGGGTTCTGTCCCCTGGCCGAGACATAACAGAATCTGTCAAAATGGTAGTTTCTACTCCTGTTTTACGCTCAGCAATTAATTGGAGTGGGACGACTGGTTCGCCCGTTGTCAGTAAAATGTGACCGGGTGGGGTGTCCTGCTGGGTGTCTTCGGAAGCATGTTTCAGTGAGGTAGCACTATAAAGTCGGTATCAGTTCCGCGCTATCACAAGGAGACAAACACGAACATATCGCAGCCTCCCAAAACACACACGCATACACTACACGCATGCATCTTGCACACAGGGGAGGCCGTCCTAAAATGACCATAGCTGTCGATAGGACGTAAAAAAAATACAAAACCAAACGTTAACACTTATGTCAAGAGTAAGGTATTGCCAATCAAGAAGGTTGTTTGGAAGAAGAGAGAATTTATAAAGATCCCAAATATTGCGATGGGTGCAGCAGATTTAGCTGGTCATTGTTTTGTCCCCAAGTGGAGGGCACACATGCAAAACCCTTTTCTGCAGGGAGTTCCCACATTAGACGCCTCTTACAACATACAGTGGGTAACAACACGTGTATTGTTCTAAATCCCCGACATCAGCATTAAGTAATGCATCGAAAGCCCGAATAGCTTATATGAAAGATAATTGGTAATTTGCAAAGTCACATCAATTTTTTTTATCCACTTCTTCGAGTTAATTGATTACAAGAGTATCAATTTATATTAGTCTTCTTTTACCTCGACAGGAGTGTTCACACGTTGGCCCAGTGGAAGGTAGAGATGTTCATAACTTTATTGGATCTTCACGACCCTGTCATAAGTGTTGTTCTGACGACTTCTGTAATCTAGAGTGTCAGAGTCAGAATCAACAAGGTGTGTATGTGTGCCTTTAAAATATGATATTTATAAAAATCCAGCACCATTTTGTTGTCGTATTGATTTCTATGTCGCTATCTTCACTACAAACTCAGTGGTACAATGGCACAAGTTGTTGTTTTGATCTAGATCTCCATGTTCTCCAAAGTGGCATATAAAAGCTGTTGCAAACCTTCATTAGTGGATCTACAATGTAACAATAACTGATCTATTGTCTAGTTGTCGACTCCTGATAGTAACTGAAGTTGAGACGAGGCAGAAAAGATGTCCAAAACAAGATGTCAATACCACACTGGGGAAAGATAACCATTGAAGATTGCCTATCCATGAAGTAATGGGTAAACAAGCCCTTCACCTATATAAAACAGAAACCNCATAGTAAAAAAATATAGGGGCCCCCTCCAGAAAAGAACATGCATGCAATGATAATATACAAATATTTAAATTTTAAAAAGGAAGTGCATGTGCGATTTGTTTTAATGCTCTTCTTGATTTTTAAAAAATACAGTCACATAAAACTATCAGCTTATGTTTTAAAAGAACACCTTTATTTGGTGATTTTGTAATCAAAATAGAGATTTAGATATTTAAATCTCATATAATAAAACTTAATATGACTCCCTCTCTCTCTATATATAACATGAAATAACTAAGCTTAGTAGCTTAATGTTAGTTATTTAGGATGGTTATTACTTTTTTGTTACTCTAGGACTCTAAACTTTATTTATTAGGCTAACCTCTCATTCATTTATCGTTTAAGGTCTGTGGTAGGCCTATGGGTTTACGTCTTATCATCGTTTCGACAAAAGTTGTCATGATTTTAGTAACCAATATTGTTGCTTTTACCCCGCTAAAGTGACATATCATTTACCTTCGTATCTAAGTCCGTGGTATGACGCAGGATTCAGGCTACGCTGGCCGTTGCGAGTCTGTGTAGTTTGCCAATTAATACGCTGCCAACCATTGTATTTCTGTCGTGAATCCATGCAACATGTTTGCCTTTTAACGTTTGCACATTTTTTTCTACATGACAATTCCAATGATAATCGCAGTAATATTCGCGAAAAAGTCTAATTAAGCCTACCGGAATCGCCTCAACCTCCGCCGCCATTTTGACATCTGGGGCATGCGCAATACATCGGTAAACGGAATCATCCATTGTGACAAGAGGGATAAGAGGAAATCTTTTGTACTTAAGTGCGAAGGTACATAATGTAAAAAGATTACTACATAATGACAAAAGACGTAGTTTTGCGTTAAGTGCTTTTAGTACTTAAGTGCAAAAGATTTGCACCTAAGTGAAAAAGTTTTTGCCATTGTGTGATTTTTTGCCATTATGTCCAGTTTTTTTCACTTCAGTGTAAATCTTTTGCAGGAAGTGCAAAAGTTTTTGCACTTAAGTAGTTTATGTATTTTATCCTAAAACGGCCGCCCATACTGAAACACTGTTAACCTGTTATTGAATGTATTTCAAATCCGGGACACAAATAACGTATTTCCGGCATATTATGATACAGGGGTGGTATCTTGGAGTGCTTGGAGTCAATGGGGTACGTGTTCGGCTAATACCTGTGGTGGTCGCGGACATCAGACTCGGAACCGACATTGCACTAGTGTTGCAGGAGGTTGTAACGGTGTATCTACTGGAGAACGCAATTGTTCCCGTGGTCTCTGTTCAGGTACACATTTTAAAACTTATCCTGATAGGTAAATATCGCATCATTTTGACAGTCTATACCGACATTCACCTAATAACCACTTTTCCCGCAAACTTGAGTGAGCATTTCATAACCTTACCATAGAATGTGACAATTTCAATGACGTTGACAACAAAACAACAGGGTTGTGGTATAGAACCTTTTTCTCGAACGAGACACAATTGTGTGATATCATCAGTGGTAGAAGTAGGAAGAATTTGTCAAGGCTTTTTGATTATTTCATGCTGTTACATTTATTGAACTGAACATTGTTTTTTGAAGTGAAATTTGTATTCGCTTATAAGAGTTGAGTATGCTTCGCCATTTATGCAATTTAGATTGTCTCAACTAGAGTTTTCATCTCGTAACCTGATCAAAATACTATTTGTCACATACAATTTATAACTCGCACTCTCTCCTTTTATTATTTTTCTGATGTAAAAAACGAAGTGCAACAAATATGTTAGTTATCTCGACCAAGCTGCTGACCATCACTCAGAATGCATCCTGAATATATTCAAAAAAGAAAAGCCGATAACTACAATTTTCACTTTTTAAGGTTGTGCTGAGCTGTACAACAGTGGGCAGCGTACATCAGGTGTTTACACAATAGCTCCGGCTGGACACCAACCTCTAAATGTCGTCTGCAATATGGGAGACGGAGGGGGATGGACGGTACTTCAACATAGACTCCAGGGATCCGTTAGCTTCAATCGAAGCTGGACTGATTACGTCACTGGTTTCGGTGACCTACGTGGCGATTTCTGGCTTGGATTGGAATATATTCACATGCTGACTTCGCGGGGGGTCCAGATCATCATTGATATGGTGGGAAAGCATGGATACTTGATACGGTACAGCTACGATCACTTTGAGGTGAAGAATGCTAGTACATCGTACGAATTATTGGTTGCCAATGACAACTCTGTGAATTGCACATCATACTCCCGGCTTATGTATAATAACGGATCAAAATTCTCCACGCCTGATAAACAGGGAAAGCACGGTTGTGCGTCTCACGGTTCCGGATGGTGGTTCAAAGAATGTTCATATTTCAACATAAACGGAGTGATAGGTGTTGATGATAATAATTATGGAATGGCGGCGCTTTGTCACCCCGACATTGTTTCATTGAAGGAAACAATAATGAAAATAAGATAACCAGCCATTGTGCCTTGCACATATACTTCTTGGTTTTATACAACACGGATATTCTATATAAATGTTTATGACAATACATGAGATTGAAGTTAATACTGGGTATTGAATTATATAAATGATAATGAAGTGATTATTATATAACACGAAACTTAGGCTGTATAAAGCTTGTCGTCTGTAACCACTGGTGTCATCAACAAAGCGAACGTTTTTTCTTATCAACGGATTTTACAGGATGCAACAGATGCAACACCTACTTAACCGCCCCTCCATATTGGACATTATCTCCACAGAACCAAAACTTCTCTCAAAACAGTTAAGACAATACAAAATATTGATGTGATTTTTTCTCTAATATCGTGACGACTTCTGACTATAAATATGTTAATCAATCAGAGGTCACAACGGACATGTTGGATGACCGTTCGAAACATGAAATGTGTCACGTACATTTATACATGTCATGTCCCTTTTTTTATTGATGCATATTAATTTATTCATTGTATACATACACTGACCCTCTACTATAGATAATAAGTAACCTAATAAATCAACTGAAGTTCCCATGGCAAATCTATTTTGTAATCATAGAACTATGAATGCCATAAACATTGAAATAGACACAAGATTTAATTTACAAATTTACTCTTAAATATGTAGCATTAAACGGTTGTCGACATTTCCCCAGAAAACAAAACTCATTCCGTATATATACATTTGCTACCGCGACGTATTGGAGTTTATTAACTGCTATGGTATATTGGGTTAGCCTTACCGGGGATATTGACGTATTCCATCCGTAATCATACCAGTGTATTCCATCCGTGGTCATACCAGTGTATTCCATCCGTAGTCATACCAGTGTATTCCATCCGTGCTCATACCAGTGTATTCCATCTGTGGTCATACCAGTGTATTCCATACGTGGTCATACCAGTGTATTCCATCTGCGGTCATACCAGTGTATTCCATCCGTAGTAATACCAGTGTATTCCATCCGTGGTCATACCGGTGTATTCAATCCGTGGTCATACCAGTGTATTACATCCGTGGTCATACCAGTGTATTCTATCCGTGGTCATACCAGTGTATTCCGTCCGTGGTCATACCAGTGTATTCCATCCGTAGTAATACCAGTGTATTCCATCCGTGGTCATACAAGTGTATTCCATCTGTGGTCATACCAGTGTATTCCATCCGTTGTCATACCAGTGTATTCCATCCGTGCTCATACCAGTGTATTCCATCTGTGGTCATACCAGTGTATTCCATACGTGGTCATACCAGTGTATTCCATCCGTAGTAATACCAGTGTATTCCATCCGTGGTCTTACCAGTGTTTTCCATCCGTGGTCATACCAGTGTATTCAATCCGTGGTCATACCAGTGTACGGCATTTGTTGTAGGATCATCCGTTACCTCAAACGAAAAAAAAGATGATAACAATTTGATGACTGTATATCAAAAACAAATTAACTATGGCAATAGCTAGGTGACACTGTTTGTTGAAAATATTTTTATCGAAAAGTGACACCTTTTTTATGCACACACAAAGGCTTGCATATAACAACAACCAATACAATAACAACCATTTTCATGCACTCTTTATGTGTTCGGGTGGTGACTTTAATAGGAAACCGTCAGAAAATGCTTCAAATTTCCATAATATTTCAACTACATGTAATCATAAAGTTTAAAATGCTTTTAGCGCACGAGACTAGCCAGATCACCAGAATGAGAAACTGTTTCGTATTGTGTAAAATAAATATCTCGTATCCTTTGCAGTCCCTTTTTACATTCAAACAGCTGTGCTATTTCTTAACCGTATCTTTAAAACCTAGCACCCCTATTAAGATAATCCTCGATATTCCACGGTGTATGTGCTCTCTGCACCCCTGACATAGGTCTTAGCAAAACTGAAGGCACGCTGTTAGCTATTCGGGTGGTGTCAGGTTCGTCGAGAATGTATTTAGGCCAACCTCATATACCCGACCGAAGGGGAATTCCTAAACGTCATCGGTGTGTTTTAATTGTGTGTGACTGTCATCAGCAGGAAAGTTTACAGTTTACTGATCGAGCTTAGAATCAGATTATATTATCAGACATATTGGTAACTGATATTAAATAAGGTTTCATGATTCTTGCAATGATATGGCGTATTTGAAAATAGAAATTATATTGGAAGTAATGATATTCGCTGCTGTATATATGAATATATATATACCAACACCCATTAGTTCGGTGCACTATATTTTACCTGTGTCTTATACTTTGACTGAAAGGAATTACCTTTGTGTGAAAAGTGTTTAAAAGCAATCCTCAGACGAACACGACACGATCACTGTGTGTTGTGTTCATTACTGTCACAAGCAGGTAAGTTAACAGTTTATTTATCGACCTGAGATCAAAGGTTATTTTCAGATATATTAGTAACTGATATCGTAACCCATATGGTGCACCCCGGTGCGCTATTCAACCCCAAAAACAACAGATCATCAAACAACATTAGATATTTATTTTATGATATTTATATATATATTTGAGAGTCAAAACTTAATTTAAAATGAAAACAAATGTCTGGTTTATATTGCAAAAACATTAAACGATATTATTTAGTCTGTACAGCAAGCTACGTTCACCTTATTTTATGATATTTGTGTATTTATTTGAGAGTCAAAACTTAATTTAAAATGAAAGCAAATGTCTGGTTTATATTGCAAAAACGTTAAACGATATTATCTAGTCTGTACAGCAAACTATGTTAACCCAATGGAAATACATTGGAGCTTAAAATAGAACCAATGCCATAATGAGTAATGCTTCATTTTTTACCCTCGTCATGTTACATATTGCAACCCAAATAGAAATGACACGAGTCCTCGCAACTGCCACCCGAAACGAAGTTTATCTTACCACACTGGGATCAGAAATAGCTCATAACATAGCAACAAGTTACTGGGTATTATGGAAACAGGTCGTTCATCTGAAGGTATATTCGGACCTATCTCGTATAGAGTTTGCATGTGTAAAAACTCGTTATGAAAAATACCTATATCAAGAATTTGTCCTTTACAACATTACAGTGATATATAAACCACTCACTACATTTCTGACGTTTTCCCCTTTCCGCTCCCTGCGGATCGGGGTGGTTTATTCCTTGTCTTCTATTTGGGGACATTGAAGAAATTAAGAAAAGACCTGCTATATCCCAATACATGTGTATCGTAAAAGGCGACTGATGTTGGGCCCCCTGCTCAATCTTGGGCTTTTCGTCGTGTCGTTTGCGTAGGGGAAATGGAAGAGACGAACATGTATCTGCCGTCTCCATTGCAAAACTTGGGATTTTTGTCGTTTCCTGTCTTCTGTTTTCTTTTTTATCTACTTTCTGCTAAACCACAAACAAATCCCCCTTTCCGACACATAAAACATAATGTCAGAGTCTAAGTCATATGACTTTTGGTTTATCTCTGTCTATAAATGCACATTGTGTAAACCTGTGCAAATTTAATTAAAATAATACTAAATTATGTATGTATGACTGTCCTGTTAAAACATACATAGTTTTAACCTTCAAAATATCTGTAGGAGCTAATAATTCCCCTGTAGCTTGAGGATTGAGACAAAAATACATCTGATGTTATCCACTACATGGTCGTAAAAGAGGACTTAAGTGGGATTCTCTTGTAGAGTGTTGGATGGAGTTTATGTCCTCTACTAAGGAACACAAAAGCGACCAAAATAAATCTGCTAAATCAATTGCAATTTTTAGGATCTTTATGTTATTCTCTCTTCTTCTTACCATTTGTTTGTTTGGCAATATCTCACTTTCGGCTATAATGTTGAAAGTTCGCCCAGGTGATGAAGGCAATGGGTTCTATCCCGGCGTCGGGACATACCTAATATGGTAGCTGATGTTCCCTGTCTGTTTTGGCACAATTTCTCACCCGACACGAGGGTGAGGAATCGTGTCGGGGTGAGAAATCGTACCGTATCAACGTTTACACTCAGCATGGTCTTTAAACGCGACATCACTATAGAATCGGCATCAGATCCTTGCTATCGCAAGGATGCAAAAGAACCAACATACCCTGCCTCCAGCAAACACACACACATGCACGCATTCACTATTCACATGAAAGCATGTTTTTAAATGATCTTAGCTGTTAGGACTTTATACCCTATTCAAAACCCAATGCCGCGAGGAAGAGATACTTACCAAAAATACAACAGAGGGGAGGAATATACTTACCAAAACTCCAATGAAGGGAAGGGGGTACATACCAAAAATACAATGAAGGGAAGGGGATACGTCATCGCGATTTAACTAAGTATTCCTCCCAAATAAGAGCGTAACTAATCTCTTGCTTTCCTGCACCTCGTCGTGTCTTTTTTTTTTTTTAGAAAACACCATCCATTCTTATGTCTTTCACATTCGCACTTAAAGTTATTTTGTTTTTCATTGCAGATTTTACGAGGTTTACAAAATATCTATACGGAGCGATTAGAAAAATTAAAGTACGCTATCCAATCTTCTACAATTCACCTAACCTCCTCAAAAAGATATGAATGCTACTGAAAAATAAATCCGAGGCTATAAAATGAATGTTTTTAACCGTTTCAAGAAACGTCTGTTCAATAAGAACAGGATGAAAAAAACGAACAAATTAGATCAAGATGTGACGTGTTCTCCAAGCAATGCAGACAATGAACACCTCACAGCTGATGAAAATGTTTCTACGGGCAATACCACAGAATACAACGATTTGTCAAGCAGCAACAAAGAATATAACATCAACGTATTGCCAGATGAAACTGAAGCTAAACAACTCACCACTAAGCGTAACATCAATGCTTGGTCTAAAGTCAATAATGATCCTGGACATTATAAGAACATTTTGTCAAAGGAAGAGGTCAAAAGAATCGAGGCTTTGATGCTTGATCTTAATTCCTATACCAGAAGTGATGGCACTGAAAACAGATTATGCCTCAAAGAAACGAACATCAATACCTTGAGTGCAAACAAACACATTTGCGAAAATGCCGAAAGGGAATTGAACACAATATGTGTTCATGCACCGCACCAATGGCAGTTACAGGCTGTAATCACCGAAAAGGGCGGCTTCTTCCAAACAAAACACTCTGACGTCAGACTCACGTTTCAACAAAACTCAGTTGATATAAATACAACTATTTCAGGGTCAGTTTTACTTGACATTCCGTTTCTCAGAAGTAAATTTGAACTACAAAAAACAGACATTATAGTGGCACCCACCGTTGAATACCATTTGCATGAAGTAACACACCTAAAGTTGCATGCTTGTTTAGAACTACCCCATTGTATAGGCAGTCGAAACGTACACAAAATGCAAGTATCGTGGTGTGTAAATGTGCGTGGAAAGGTCACAAAAAACTCAAATTTCATTTATTGAAAAACCAGCACAGGAAACCCAGCGGATTCCGGATATTTACTGGACAAAGGGCACGAGAAGGAATACAATAAACGTATTTGCTAAGCATTTCTGTGTTATTCTGTGTACTGCGTGCGAAGAAGATGTCGAGTTCAATATTCGAGCATTGCTATTTCACAAATTTGACAATATTAACCCATTGACCCTCAGGCTCCACCTTCACCTGGGCGGACCCCTGTCAAAGATAAGAGACTTCGAACAGGTATTGTTGTCAACAATTGTCAGATATATTGTGATTAAAAGATTGATAATATCATTTATTTATGGGAATATGATACAAATATGTAGGTTTTAATATAATGGATTGTACATCGCTGAATAGTCACAAAGAAACGTTTTTGTTATTATTATTACAACGGCTGATTCAAAAGATGTTAATTCGTAAAGATTCTAAAACAGCTTACTTAAGGATCCCTGTACCATTACCAAAAACTAATTATTGATTTTAAAAAATCCCGGCATGAATATACCTTTGATAAATTATTTCTGAAAAGAAGCATACCTTGCAGGACATTTATGACAGAAAAAATAAAGATGAAGCAAATACCAACAATGTTCTGAATGTAAAAATATCACGGAGCAAGTCTAGCATTCGAACTCAGGACCTCAGTTCATTGTGCTGTCCTTCCCAGCAACTGAGCTTCCTGGTCAACGAAAGTATAAAAGCCCAGTTGCGCTACATCCAAACGAAACTTAGGAGATGTTACTATATGTACGAGAAACTAAAGTGAAATGGTCTAGTATTTTGCCTGCAGTGGCAGAGGGATTCATACGTAAATAATCCCAAGATAATTGACATCAAGTAGATAGATCCATGTCAATATGGATAGAAAAACGGAAACTGCGTCAGCAAAATAGAAGGATATAGTTAACCTGCATATAAAACGAATACATATTAAAGTTTAGCCAATCTTATTTAATTTAAGTACATTAATGCATAAAATGTTTCAAATTTCTATGAGTTTCGTCATTCATTTTTTATGATGAATATTGAATAAGAAGATGTTTCAATGATTTAGGCAACGATTGAAAAGATGAAGAGGGAAAACCTGATTTTCATCGAAGAAACAGACCTCAATCTTATCCCAAGATTTCAAGGTACCCTCAGATTTCGCTTGGAATTGCTAGAAATCGCCTATGGAAAATGGGAGCATGTGAAGCGAGAAAGCACGAATCTTGTCTATGAAAGCCAACAGGTAAAGTAGAAGTCATTACATGTCGGAGTATGTAACTTATATTCTAAAATTAGATAGATTTGTATATACATCACATGCTTTGAATAAGTTATTCTGATTTTCGTCGTCCCGCGGAAATGTCCATGTGGCAAATAAGCTCAAACGGAGCATTTTCTTCCCTAATTTTAATCTTGTATTTAAAGGGTCAATTACTAAAGCAATTGTTAATCCCCGTTGATGTAGAAAGATCATATTTCCGTTGGTTTCTGGCCCGGGGGATTTAATCGGTTTGACCTCAAGGAAGGTTAATAATAAATGTGTAATTGTGTATCCTTTGTGTTATATACATTGTGTAAGTAGATAATGTGTACTTGTGTACTACCTTAATGTATCCTTTGTGTTATATACATTGTGTAAGTAGATAATGTGTAATTGTGTACTACCTTAATGTATCCTTTGTGTTATATACATTGTGTAAGTAGATACTGTGTACTTGTTTGATTGTTTGTTTATTTGGGATTTAACATCCTCGCAACAGCAAGGGTCATATGAGGAAAAATGGTCGAAAATGTAGCAAGGCCCAAGTTGGCACCCGTCCTTTATCATTAGGTTGAATGTGATATATACAAATGGGCATTGTTTGTACAGAACTTTGATGTCAGACGCTTAGCCAAGTGTGGCAATGAACACGTCATAAATGATGGGGTGAAATTGTTGCTAAAACGTGTGACGGTTTCGACGAACACCTGCTGTTTCTGCACTGACATCATACATGTTGGCAATGCTGAAAGCGAGGCTACGGCAACGACGACGATGCATGCAGTATTACCGGTGCCAGAAGTAAGGATAGTTAGAAAAGCTTTTGGATTTGGATTTGATATCCGCCTTTTTTATTTGCAAACCTTTGTTTCAACAGTCATTACCGAAACACATTTATTTCCCTTATGAGGGCAGGATTTTACAACACAACCTTTTTCATGATAACTGAATTATTTTCAGAACATACCATGCAATCGTTCCCCAATCCATGCTTTATATTCGTAAAAAGACACATGAAAATAATTATAGTATTAATGTTGAAAAATCATATCGATTTAGCAATTATTGTTGAAAATGGTTTTATCTTGCAGTTTAATCTACACACGCATCTAAATAAGTAATAAAACAGCTAAAAACGATCTGTCTTATAGACCTTATGACATTTTTAAGTATACAAACTGAAAAAGTCGATTAAAGACCTGCCTAATTTTAAACTTTTGCCATCAGACCTGACGTTTCCATGTGTCAAACAGCCTCCTATTGGTAGATTTTTCATGACCCCTACTCTCCTCTTCGTGAGCTTTTACAAAGGAATAACATAAAATGTTTGCATATCAGACGCATGTGTATATTGTATTTGGAATATTGACGTGTGTATTCAGTGTCTATCAAAATGAACACAAAAATAATAACCATATACATATCTATCAAGATGGTATTATATTGAAAGTGGGTTTATCAGATTATTTTTTGTCATGAAAGCTTGTCTTTAGTATTTGAATCATCACTGACGTGTTAGCCTTTCGGTTAACAATAGTTTGCTGTTGATGATAAAAGGTAATCTTACTAAAATATAATTGCTTTTACTTGACAATTTATTATGTAAATTCTCAGCATATATTTGTCGTAGGCGATCCTTTATTCATATTATGTTGCATTGTGGGGAGGACTGTTGAAGGTCTCAATTGTTTAATCAATGAGATATGTTTAAACTCTGTACAGGACCGTCCGGAGCGGAGAATCATAGAGCGTCTGAGGGTCGGATTACATGGACAAGACATCTCCAGATCCAAAGAACTGTTCGAGACGTTCGGGATGCCATTCCATGAAGAAAGTGCTACTCGGTAAGACAAAGTACTAGGGGCGTTCAGGGTCATATCCGACCTCATTAGGGATTTAGAATTAGTTGTTATACTCAAAACAACCATATTGTGGCTATTTCTGCATAGCAAAGCAATTTTGTTGCTTTTGTATCAGGAAAGAGAATACTGTACTTCCACCGGGGATCCAATCCTCGATCTCAAGGTTCCTAGTCGGACGCTCTACCACTAAGCTAAAGGGAATTCCCTCTAGCTCATCTGTCAAACTACTCACCCATTTTTAAAATGCGTTCGCCCTCGAACACCACAACCCAGCCTGGGTTCTAACTCCCTGTATATGTATATGAATAAGGTCCATCCATTCCCACGTTTCTTTGGTCTATGCTCCTGTTTCCTTGTGTCGATTTTGAGCTTTGATTTTGTCTGTGTGTGTTGACTGTAGTATATATACATTTCATAAAAGGTAATCCCACACCAAGTAGTGTTTCAGATAACTTAGCTACTTCTACGCATCATTATCATTGCTTGGTTTTAATCAGTTCTGTTTTAAATGTTTCTTATTGACAGAGAGGAATACTGGCAGGGAGAACTCGGCGAATTGCTGAGGAATCGGGGCTTGGTAAACTTCCTTTCTGAACTGGAAATATTTCTATTAAGGCGTGGGGAGACAGAACTCCTTAGGGAAATCAGAACATATTGGCCGCGCCACGACTATGGGAATGCTCTCGTCAATTACACGGCGTCTGGACTTATAAACGATTCAAATTTGCCATTCATACAACCACCTAATGATATCTACAGCCAGGCAATGCCAAACTAAATGGAAGGATCACAATAAAAAAAAGTCGTTCTGTTGTGATCACGAATAAATCAGGCGCATACATTAATAGAATCCATCCCTGATGTGAGGTATGGATAAGGTTATTCAAACCCAAGTTCAATATTTTATCCCGAGGGTTTGCATCACCTTATCCTTACCTCACATCGGGGATGAATTATATTTCTTGCTTATTACCCAGAACCCGTAAAAACAGCTGCTCTTCTAGTAAAGTTGTAAACTGTACGCACATTTCTCATTTGCATATGAAGCCCGGATGGCAATTGTTAGTAACGTCAATGGCCCTGACTGACCCCAAAACGATTCAATACGAAGTCTTTTTTTCTGAGTGAGTGTTGTTTTTTGTATATATATATATGAATTTCAAAAATGTAAAGATACGGAATCAACATTAGTTAGTAAATAATTCAAATACTAAGACATTCCAACAGATAATTTTGATGTCATCTCTGAAACCAAGTAAAGATACCACAGCTAGTTTGCTGTTAGATCATATGTAGAATTCTAAATAATAACGGAGACTTTATGGTGTTGTTAATGTCATTTACTAATGACGTATCAATCAAGGTCAATCTTGATCAAATATCACAATACTTAAAGAGTTTCTCAATACTATAAATGTTGATCATTACATATGACTTTAACTGCAAAGATGAGGTAAAAAGTCTTACTTTTGATATATGGCAATAATGACCAGATTTAACAAACGTAAAGACATAGAGTTACAAATAAGTGACCCAGTGTAATTAATCGCGCTAACATTTTTTGATATAATATATTTTATTTTTGCATTTATGTGATTTAAAGAATCATATATCGTATTGAATGCAATTGTTTTTTCCACCCGAAAGGTCATAGTTGTATGAAATCAGAAATCAATTCTGTAGAGAATTATAACCTCAAAATATGAACATTAATTATATTTTTTCCCGGTTAACTAATGATATTCATTATAAATGGCACGCGGGAACAGAAATAGACATGGCTTTTTAGAATAAAATATTAGTGTATTCGTCTTTATCACATACGTATTACGACCATTAATTTGTTAATTACTTCATGTTATGTAAGACTAATAGAATGTCTTATCCCCTTAGGGCAAGATAGGGGAATACCAACGCGATGGGGGGAATTCTTAAGTTGCCAAACACCAGGCTTTGCCGAGTTTTGGCAACTTAAAATCCTTCCCCTAGTGTTGAAATACCCTATCTCACCTCAAGGGGACGAATGATTCTTTTTCTCTTACCGTATTTTGTATCATATACATAATGTAATGGTAACGTTACATGCGTTATAAGGTTGACGTCACGTTGATGGATTGTTGACATGACGACATTATATCGTCATACCATTGTTATGAATAGGGGAATCTTTCGTCTCAACCCTAGGGTGAGACATCATTTTCTCTCATATCCGGTCATTTAAGATTATACTACTCTTTAATGCCCAGGGGTGTAGGATAGGGAAATTCTACACGAGGGATTTTCAAATCAGGTAATACCCGGTAGCCAGTCTGGACACATTTTAATGGTTTCTGAGCTTATTCTGGTAGTTGGAATGGGAGAAAAATACTCTTTCATGCCGAAGGGTGTAGGATAGGGAAATTCAACCCTCAGGATTTCAAATTTGGAAAAACCATCGGCAAAGCCTCGTGTTTGGCAACTTAAGAATCTTCCCCCTCGGGTTGAGATTCCCCTATGGTGAGAGATTCCATTTGCACCTGTCGAGTATAAGAGAAAGAAAAAGTCCATAATTTGTGTTCGTAACAAGATATGTCGAAATAACATTTCTGTAATTATTATGTAGATGAAACAATATTTGTCAAGTGAGTTTATCGGGATATTAATTATCTTTATAATCATATATTTCAGTTGGTTCCTTTCAGAAAGTTCTAGATGAGTAGAAAGTCAAAGGTGCTATTGGATAAATATTGAAACTTATTTTTTTCATTTTTATTGTATAGGTCTTAAATACAAAAACAACAACCGGTCAACAGGCAAAGCCTTCAAATTCCATCTCCGTTAAATATAAACAGTGCATACATATATGGATAGAACTATACAGCCTTATATGAAATATATAAGTATTAACGTGAAATTGTATCACGTAACTTACCCATTTTACTGCCATGCGGCCATGTCATAAATAAGGTATTGCACATGTGTAATAAAACCTTAAGGTGCTACGATAAGTCAAACCCATGAGAACATATTCCTACGCCACTACAGGTACTACTTCTATTTACTATACCACATGATACATTTACTGTTATTTTAAATAAATTTGAAATGTTTATTTTGTCATATCATTTTTCACTGCATGTACAACTGTTCAGTATTAATTGGTGTTTTTTTTAATCTTGAACTACTTTGCACTGTGCGGACCGACAAAACTATGATCGGAGTACTTGGGTTTTTACCCAATGGAGTCAGCTGATAATAGACAATTGTGTTTGATATTGTTTTCAAATTATGAATGTTATGTAATAAATTTAATCTTTGTGTCATTGTGCACAAATTATTGAACGAGTTTAATAAATTTAATATGACATTAATAATAATAAAAACAATATTTATTCAGCTAAAAGCCAAATAATACACGTATATCACATTTTGCAGATTGGACATAAATATATATATATTATCACAGATGTAATTTATAAGTTAGTTATGCCATAAAACAAGTAACCAGTCAGGTGTTAAAAATGGATTGGATTAGATTAATTTAGGCCCAATGGGGTCCCTTAGATCTAAACAAGTTAATTCAATTCATAAAATAGTTACATAATTATATAGTATATATTGATGACTTGGTAAGACTCCAAGACAGTTCTTTAATAAAAATAGATACAACATGTAACATGTGCCATAGGCTATAATCAATAAAGTAATGCTGGTAATTGAATGATATAAGATATGAAGTAATTAACCATATATTGGTATTCGAACATTTAAAGATGTAAAGTATTAACTGAAAAAGTTACTTGCCAAAGGGCTGGTGGTTGGGCCAATCTCTACCGACCAAACTCTCAGACATTAACGTACAGTAATTGATTGGCATGTACCGGTATATAACTTAAACTAATAAAATAATTTGAAATAAATCAGATAGTAACAAGTGTATCCCGTTTGGAATAGTTAAAATCTGATACAAAGGATACATTTAAACCAATTGAATTTTATCAAAATCTGTTTGCTTCTTGCATAAGAGGGCTGTTGGTGGTTGGGCCAGTCCCTACCGACCAAACTCTCTTACTGCATAAAGTAATAGTAATTGACATGATGACACAACATAAAAAAAAAGGAATGTAAATAGGATTTAAGTCAAAAGTATAATGCCTGTGAATAATTCAATTGACAAATTTTAACAAGTTTTAATTAATTTAATTGCTACTTGCAGAAGAGGGCTGGTGGTTGGGACAATCCCTACCGACCAAACTCTCAGACTGCATATAAAGTAACAATATATTATAATTAAATCTTACTATGTGAACGTGAAAACGTATACACATAATTTCATTCATACTGATAAATTACGGACTAGCGGGGTTAAGGGTCATTTCCAGCCTCAACAGGGATTTAGAATGTGTTGTTACATTCGCAATCTTAGATAAATAAAGTACGCAAATATACAATTTGTTATTCATTCAACAAAGATAGATAACCCGCATTTGTCATAAGAAATTGCGTGAATAACGTCTATTGTGTTCTATTTGCGTTGAAAATCTGCCATTTTGAAGCAAATTAACTAAACACTTTTCAATTTTTGAAAGCCTCCGCATGCACCAACCAAGTAAATATCTGGTGTGCTTATGATGTGGCATCTACGTAAGAGCGATGAAAAGCATCTACTCCAGGCAAGATAGCTCCAATGAAACAATATGACGTTTAAAAAAGAAATTGGTAAATAAAGTAAAGTTGAAATTCTATTTCTTTTAATGAGGCCGTAAATGACCTACAATGCCCAAACAAAATATGTGCATTATTTGATAATTTCCATTGATATAATCCTGTGTTTATTTTAAATTGGTGATACTCTACAATACATATGTTCCTAAATTTGTAATTTATTTACTAGTAAATGTTTATTAATCATGAAAGAAGCTGTGTTGAGTTAAACTTTGTTACTCATTTGAAATAAAATTGTTTATTGTTTTTGGTATTGTTATCTGTATGATTGTTTTCATACCATTAAGAATATTATTTACGGCATGACAAACTGAAATGCAAAACAATGCACTACCTGGCAACACTGAGCAACAGCGGCATGCGACGAATCGACATTCCATAGGAACAAGCTATGACGTCATGTGACGTCGTGCATTTCTGTTATTTGTTAGAATTGGAGGTATGTACAACATTAAAATTTAGTAATAGATACAGCATGCCAAAAATGAATTACATTGCATCATACAGATGTTTCGTCCTTCTTGGACTCGTCGGTGAGGCTAGGGGCCAAAAGGTTGGAAATCCAAATAGTGGCCTAAAAAGCTATAGAGTTCCAGTGGCTGACATGCTGAAAGATATATAAGATATAATAAGATATATTTTTATGAATTGGCTTGCTATACTCGTGAGTCGTTAATTTTTTAATTTCCATAACAGACACTCACATTAAAACTCGCTTTCTTTTAAAATATCGATAATTAATCATGTTATTAGTTTGATTTGGATTACCATGATAGCCGGATAGATCATTTACGGAACCTACAATAAACGCCAGACACCCTTGAGTGTCCACGGAGCGATAAGCTCAGATTATTTCTCTTATTCTTGTTCGTATATAACAGAAGTGTCCGGGGTAAGACAGGGATGTAAATTTCTATCTAACAACACATTCCACTTGCGTGACGTCACAACTGGTAACACTTAATGGCGTGGCCACACGAAATCGGGAACATTTAGACACCGCGCGATGCAGAAATTGCGGCGCTGTGGTTTCTGACCTAATTCTGGCGATTGGAATGAGATAAAAATACTCTTTTCGTGGCAAAGGGTGTAGGACTTACAATATTCAGTGTTACAAGTATAGGCCTATTCATTGAATCAATATTAATTTAGCAAAACTGTCACTGCCCAACACGTTCACGTTACTTGCAGCTGCAAACGGAACAAGATCAAAATGGACACACATACGATATATGCAAAACTTGTTGTCAAGTAATACTTAGTATACTTTATAAGAAAAACTAACAATATTTACTTTCTTTTCCCTTTATTTCAACCTTGCATAAAATAATGTAACTTGCATACAAAAACAAGTATGTAATGTAAGAATAAAATATCGATCTATATATAAATCTATTAATCACTGAATCTAGTCTAGACCAGCACCAGTCACAGTTCATGGAGGTTTGGAATGGCAAAGACTATTTACCAAAAATACCACAAAATAGTCAATGCAGCAGAAATAGTCTTTAATTTATCTTTTCAATGTTCAATTAGTTTAACAAACTTTCATGTATGGTGGTGTGTTTTGGTTCTTTTTGTGTGTATTAATAATTCCCTAAACACAGATACTTTGCCATAACAAATTAAAAATAAAAACAAACTATCACATTTGTCAACACAACAAATCTTGTCATGGACGGAACGACATAAACTTGACATCACAAACACACACAAAAAGTCAAACAAATGAGAAAAAAATCCGGAAATAGATTTAAAATAGTCAATAAATTACATTAACACTAAAAGAATTTAACAGCATGAACATTTTAAATCAGCTTCTGGTGTCCATTAATTTATCAGCAAGTTCTGATCGAGTAGTAAGTAACATTAACTCCTTCAATCACCCCTGAAGACACCTTTGAACTACTCCTATTCAAAGGTTGGAATAGTTCATTATGGAATTTCAGTGGTGGATGAGTTAAAACAGACAATAGAAGGTTATGTTGAGAAAATGTTTATTCCATTGTCGACAGTTTTATTTCAAGCTTGAATAATCTTGCAGCAGCTAATTAGAATTTTAGGGTCGGAAGACAACATAAAATTAGAGGTAAAGGTGTTTGGTTAGAAGGTTTCTGGTTGAAACAATTAATGTCATATCTGGTAAAACACCACATCCCACACCAAGACAGCAATCTATAAAGGATTCAAAATAATAAGTATTCTCCTCCAAGATATGTGTACAGAAATCCCGAGTCATATTACAATCACCGTTAATAGAGGTAGTGGAAGGATTTCTTGTTGTGAAGTATACTGCAAACTACTAATACAATAAGCATAAAAACGTGTTGACAGATGGCTAACAGTGTGTATTGGAAACATGGATCGTAACCATGGTATTAATGACAAAACCATATACAGTACAATGTTGTATCTATATATTCCTGACTATTTCCAATTATTTTGAGATCAGTAGCAATGAAACTATAGGGTGACTTGACTTTTTCTGTTTATAAGACAAAGAAAATTATCGTATCGATTTTGATAAGCATTAAGTATTTCTTAATAACCTGTGATATAGTACCCAAATGAACTTCTGAAACAAGTTAGGACTTTGGTTATTGTCAAAATACCCTGACAGCAAGAACATTTTTGACGTACGATTACCAGGTATTGTCGAGTGGCACTTTGGATAACACACTCGCCTCCACCAAGGCGGCTGGGGTTTAATTCCCTGATCAGATGTGAACATTGTATTTTTTTTTTATACATTACGTAAAAACTTAATTATATGCAAATTACTTGCAATCCAGACAACATTAGGCTAAACAGCCCTTGGCTACAAAAAGTACAATAAATAAAAAACCCAGTAAAATTGTAAAATGCATCAGACTGCAAATTAATTTTGACATTTCACATCCATTTAAGAATTCTACAATCACCTTCAGCCACAATAAACAAAAGTTCAATTATATTCACAAAAATAGTATATATTTCCTACTTTAAATAAATCAATGAACAAAATTTCTTTAGCATTTACATAGTAAGATAAAAACCCTGGACCAGAAAAAAAGTAAGGAAAAATAATAACAAATAAATTATAAACAAAAATTCCACTGTGAGCACAGGTAGTTTAAGCTTCTATAACAGAACACATTCCAAGAATAAAAATGGGGGAAAATATTCAAAGCTGCAGTGATGCTTCATTGTAGTAAGAAATTCACATACAGACTTGGACATTGGAAAAGAACCATGAAAAACGGACTGAAAGCAACTTTAAGCGAATTAATTATATTTTACTTAGGTCATTAATTCTTTCACCACTGTAGACCATAATGGACTCATCCATATCATACATGGTAGAGTCTATTAAAGTTACAGGGGTGAAAGGGTTAAATACATTTATGTACGTTCTAAGTGCACTTATAAAAGGGGAATAATTACCTTCAGTTGAAATATTTGGTTCATTACTGTAATACAATAGTTCCTTTCTAAAGATATGTTTAACTATATATATGGTTTATAGTATGATAGAATAACATTGAAAAAAAGGGGCAGCGCTGTCGTATAACGAAAGACTAATGAAATAGTGAGTGGGCTAAAAGAATAGTTTGAAAATGTTTGAGGAAAATATAAAGACAGGAGCAATATTTGTATTACTTTGAGCAAACAAATCAGATATCATAAATACGTACTTTCAGTGCAATTTCTCAATATTTTAAATAAATTTAACAACTTAATATATGTTAGTACCCTCTACACGATATATGCATTACATGGAAGAATTTTGTAAAACATATTTGGCAAGACATTTTTTTGTTAATAAGGCACGATATTAGTAAATTAATACTGGTTTAAAAATATATTAAATATGTCAGCATTACAACTTTCATTCTTTGGTAAACTTGTCTGGATACTGAGTCATGGAGAGCTTTCCATGAATGATAAAGATTTCTTAGATGTCAACACATTAATACAAAATGAATGTATGATTATATTGAATGATGTATTTTAGTTTTCACTGATGCAATAGGACGTATCAATTAATGAAAACTGTCATGTACATAGATTATCACAGATAATTTGTTTATGTTTTGATTCCGCTCAAATACTGCAAAGCATAACAGCCGTTAATGTGTCATTTGCAACTGCAAAAAACAACCCAAACTTGATAAATTATACAAATACTGATATACACGTCAAAACCTTTAACCAATGTTTTGTACCAAAAATGGTAAATTTTAAACTTTTTGGCACAATAAGTAACAGGTAGTTAGAAATCTAAACACATGTACAGAATATCAAGAAGCATTTGTTATTAATAGCATATCTAACTGTACAAGAATTTGAACTAAAACTAAACTAATCGTGTTTCCCCTGGGCTTCATAATAGCACGTCCAGATGATTTTTTGCAGTGGTAGGCTACATCCTAGACATTTATACAAACGACAGTTATGATGTCCAAATTTTGATTATGTGACTGTAAAAAATAATAAGAAGCTGTTCGTTCTGAGTTCCCAATATTGAATACAGGATTTTTGGTAAAGGCAAACTTGGACTGAGGACTAACCTTCAGAATAACGTTAAAACAATACAAAACTAAAACACATGAAAAAGAAAATCAATGTTTCAATTACAAAAATTTGAAATCATAAAAAGGATTTCATCAAAATAAATAAAATTTTGATTAAATTAGATTTTTGGTTTCTTTTCATATTTATTTCAAAGGAAATGAATTTGTTTCATTTTAAAAACAGTCCTTAATAGAAAAGTATACATGTTCATTATCTTCAGTATATTCGAGCACTTTTTAGGGAATACATTTTTTATTTGTACTTTTCAACCATTAAAGTCTATCCCAGCACTTTTTAGGGAATACATTTTTCCGTGAAGGCCTGTATGAACCGTTAAATATAGGACAATTTCTTCAGAGTCCAAACAGTTTCAACATCATAACTGTATGTCACTGAGATCTGTTTTCTGCTAACAAAACCCCTGAATACCTTCTTCACAAAAAAACAACAAGATAATAGTTAATGCTATTTTGTGATCAGTGTAAAGGTTCTGAACACAAACAGATCTGATGATACATTTAACTCATTCACCCCTGCAGACACATTTGAACTCTTCCAATTCAAAGGTTGGCTTTTTTCATTATGAAATTTCAGGGGTGAATGAGTTAAACAATGCAGTGTAACCCATCCAAAGTGAATCTTGAAACTAGTATAAATCAAGATCCGTTCAAACTTTGTATATTTGTACTCTTTTCATTCAAGGGAATTTGTTTTCCAAAAAATATACAGTTTTGATTCAATTAATAACTGAAACTGAAATTTAACCTTATGGCTAAGACCTTTATCTGACACCCAGGGGCTGGCCTAGGTCCCACATTGGTATAGAACCTGTGTAATCCAGTAACAGTATTGACAGCTTTCTCCTAACTTACCTTTTATTTCCCATTTGACCTTTAATATATTCGATCTCTCTGTTAACTATTTATTTCATGTGTCAACTTGAAGTATTTTCTCATTAACATTAGATAACACTCGCCAATGAACTAGAGGAAACAAAATGAACAACTTTTCCCCTATTTCAATAAGCGAATCAAAAATTTCAAAACTGCAGACTTAAAATTGGCCGCTTTATTATGTGATTGAACACGAGTACGATGTGTAGCCTTGTTGAGTACATGAGGTGAGTATGACTTGCAGTGTATTTCCCGTTTCTGTCTTAGTACTTTCCCAGCTGCTCTATCTCTTCCAAGAAAAAATCACATCTCTGAAAAATAAAATTATACAATTAAATCATGCAATTAAATTTTCTCAGAGAAAATCTACAAAAATAGTGCAGCTAATATTTGTGCACTCATTCTCAACAAGTCAAAAGCAAATTAAACAAATATCCTGCAAATATTTATATTGACACACTCAAACATAGATTTAATTTACATACTTTTATAAATGAATTATTCCTGCATTTTGGAGTAAAACAAGGAGTCTTTAATATCATCATGACAGATTCGTTTTCATCAAAAAAGCCCAGAGGAAAAGTTGATATTTTCAAAATGGTAGCCAATCCAAATTCATTTTCACAGTTTCTGAGCTTCTTCTGGTAGTTGGACTGAGAGAAAACCCTTGGGTGGAATATCCCCACATTTCACTTGCCTGAAGCCACAATAGCACAACTTCTTATATAACTCTGAGGAATAGAATGAGAGCTAGGAAACCGAGCATCCCAGCGTAAGGTCACTGCTGGTCAGGTCAGCTTTTAAATTTATCAGCCTAGCTAATTACTGGTTTTGGTAGCTCAGTGGAGCCAGGTTTTGCCTAGTCCGAATTATTCTGACGTTTTATCAACCTTTTTTTTATCGGTCTGTCGTCGATTAACCCATGACAGACCGATATAAAAAAAGTCGATAAAACGTCAGAATAATTCGGACTAGGTTTTGCCCTGCAGCATGAAAATTATCTCGAGTTTGGGGCTACTAAAGGGGTATGGAAATCTTTTATAATGATGGTCAGATCAATGTCCAGAGATTTCCATATCGAAACGGGAGAAACAGGAGATGGCTGTTTTGATACTTCAAACTGGGAGACTCAATGATATCGGGAGACATTACATGTATGTAAAAAACATGTGTATTGTAATAATACTGTACTTTTCTTTCTGGTAAACATGGTCCCAGGAATTCCATCATCAAAGGATCTTCCTCGATCCCCTTCTTGTAGTCCTCAAACGATACTCTACCATCGTGATCGTCATCCTGCATAGAACGAGGGAGAAAAATAAAAGTTGGGGACTAAGTGGGACTGCACTGATGGTCAACTGTCACTCACTTACATCTAAACCACTGTAGAAAAAAGCTACATCATACTGAATAATTTAAAAAAGCATAATTATATTTTGGTTTATAATTAAATGTACTCAGCAATTTATCAAACAGGTATTTTGAAAATGGAAGTCAACAGTACATTTCCAAGCAATGTTATTTGGGGGAAGCAAGCTTTTTACTAAATCCTTTTCCTCATATTTTTGAAATAAGATCTATTTGGTGTATTTCTTGTGTAAAATATATAAGGTCTGTTTTAAATTTGTGTCAAGATTTTTGGATTAGCCCCATATTTCTAAGCCAGTACAAGATAGAGAAATGCCTTAATAATTTATATCCATCTGCTATGTATCAGTCTTACCATTTTCTTGAGAGTAATTTCTACTAATTCTTTAATACTTTCATCTTGGTCTTCATCTGTAGATGTCTGTACAAAAAAATTACAAAAACTGAATTTTATTTACTGTACTATTTATTTATCTGATTTAACATGTAATTTGGCTTTAAATTACCACTTTTTCTTTATCTGTTTATTGGTGCAAGTATTTTCCAAAATATTTCCAAAAATCCCTGAAAATTTACTATAAATGGTCTGGACCAAGGACTGGTTTTAGAATGTTCCCATTCATTGTGCACACCCCTTTCTTGATATTATAATTTTTCTCTCTCTAAGAGTGCACTATAGTAAGCGAATACACATGGCATGCATTTATCATGAAAAAAGGAATGAAGAAAAATATTGATTAACATATTAAAATGCACAGCCATTTCATATTATCCATTATTAAAATTTCAATAGTGAGTAGTTAAATTAATTTTGAGGACATTTTTTCTCTCTCCAAAAATGTGTTCCAAAGGCCTAATAGTAGCGCTTTGAAAATCCAGCCATCTTTGTTCCCAGAAAATGACATTGTGTGTATAAACACCAACAATTTTGCCCGCAATGTTATAATGTCAACATATTGTATTGTGTTTTGGATGAGAAACAGCACACGACTGACACAGTACTGTTAATCAGATATCAATATTTCACACTGCTGTTCCGACTTTCCATTAACACCGGGTCAGTTTCAATAAGATATGTTTTTTGGACAATTGTGTGAGGTGAGTTAAATCTGCCATGAGGCCAAGGTCCTACTCTTGACTATATAATACTGTATCATGCCTCACTAGCAAGCTAGCTTTTCCAGCAATGCAGTATAACCCAGGGATGCGCTCGCTAGTTCAACAACGTCAAATAAACGGAGAAAAAAACAAAGAAACGGATAACAGTAAAATTTAAGAACGCAACATAAAACTATAACAAGAACTACAATAACAGAAAACCTGCAATCATAAAACACTGCTCTAATAAAACATGCGACACTAAGTAATAATTACCAAAAGAAGACAAACACATTTGCACTATATATATGTACCAGCACTACGATAATGAATTAAGCTGCAATCACACAAGCACTTACTAAGTAAAACAGTAAAACTAGCATGCAGACCCGTTGATAATTAGCACGAAAAGCTAAAGCAGCTATAAAATATTGATCTATTTATAAGCTTACTATAAATGGACAGCAATGCAAAAATCTATATTAATCCTAAGTGGTGAACATTAACCTAGCCCCTTATGATATCCAATGTCGTTGTAAACCAACTTTTTGTTTTGTTTAGGTATGGTATCTAGTGTTTCCTGTAACCAACTTTGTTTAATTTTTTAGAATTGTCTAATAACAATAACCCGGCCCCTAATATATATAGAGTGCTTTCGGAAACTGACCATAACTTTTTCATTTAGAATTGTCTAAGTATGGTAGTATCAAGTGTTTTCGGGAACTGACTTAACCATCCTACCGCTTTTTAGATGGGAACGAATACGGCTGGATAATACTAGCTTGACTACATAAAATATTCATAAAATGACAAACAGAGAGGAGCTCCTAAAGGCAATACAGACCCTGCTGAGTGACGTCTTAAGAAGTTGGAACATTTCTTCTCGTGATATGTAGCCGTCCCCATTGAGATCGTAGGCACAGAAACAAACTGGTAGTAGACAAAGAACAAGCATACGGACACGAATAAGTAAAGCACTGCCGGTCACACAGCAAAGCTCTTAATTAACAGATATTTCAGTGGGTAAATCGCACCAAAGTCAATAATTAACTGGAAAAAAAATAAGGTCAGTTAAGAAGCCATTAAAAACATTCTAGAAAGTGAGTTGCACATTCATTCCCTCACAAAATAAGGGTCAATCACATAATATAACCCTTAAAAGATATTCTTGTGGTCAGCCAAAACAGATTTATGGAATTTCAGTGCCAATTGAGAGCTATCATAAATTTGATTATGTACTTTTTAATTGTACATATGTATGTTTTTAGTACTGTAAAATTGTCCATAATCTATCAGACAACATCAGAAGAAACATCAGTGGTCCATAGGACCTGTATCACACGTTTCTTGTGTGAATTGAATCTAAACCCAAAGGGAAGCTTTACTCTTACTGTATGCTTGAAATCAAATTTAGTTGAGATCTGTATACATGTATGTGTATTTGATTATCGGGTGAAGCCTGAACCCTTTCTAAGTTATGACTGAAGGACTAAGTCAACTTGGGGAGGTCCAGACCTTAGAGCCAAAACAAGTAGTATCTGTGTATTCTACTAGTTATTGCATATATATATATATATATATATGCATGTAAATGATTAAAGGGTGGGAATTTCAATCATTTCCAAATTATGACTCCAGTACTAAGTTGTCCCCCAGGGACAGGAACCAACCCTGAGGCCAATCACGGCTTTATACCCAGCAAAACCATGGAGTACCCAGGGATAGGGCAAGACCCTGGACCAATCTTGGTAGTATGGTTATACTCATCTCTTCTTACCAATACCACTGTGTGTATGTAGTTTTAAGGATATCAATGTTTTTATGAGGTAGAGTGGTACATTGTACATTCCCCTCCAGCCCCGGAAATCACATTATTATGCATAAATTAATACAACTTAGACAAAATTTTGTTAAAATCTCTACATATGTACAGAAGGAATGGTATTATAAGACCCTGGCCCTCTGCCTCTAGGGTTAAATTGCCTGAGTGATTTATGCCCACCTAGCTAACTACCAAGCTATTTTGTTATCTAGCAGATAATGCCCCCTATGGGACCACACCCTCTATTTATATAACTTTGAGTCCCCTTGGCCCAATGATCCTCTAGACCAAATCTGGATTAAATCCCTTGATGACACTGAAGGTATATAAATATACGTTGGGAGGGGGGGGGGGGGGGGGGGGGGGGGGGGTTGAAGGGTAAAAAGAACATATAATAATTGCTTTGTATGGCTTATTTGTTTGGCTGACAGTGAAATGATATTTGTTGGATGTATCAAAATTAATTTTCATCTCTATCTTAAAATTGTATCATTCCTTTCTAAGGTATGAATTCGCACTTTCTACACACACAAGCAAAATTACATAAAGCAAACAACATGTTTAACATAAGTCACAACATAGAAAAAAAACAAAAATAAGCAATACATTTATTATGTCATTTCAAAACTTAGTATCATTAATGAAAGGAAAACTTCTACCTAAATTAAATACAAAAATGGACAACACTTGAAAGCAAATTTAAATGCAATGTATCATGTGAAAACCCCCATTACTTTTAAACATGTAAACATCCAGTTATGTTGTCATACATTAATGTCACCAAAATCGTTTTACCTCATTCACCCCTGAAGACACATTTAAATTTCTCCAATTCAAAAGTTGAAATAGTTCATTATGAAATTTCAGGGGCGAATGAGTTAAAAATGAAAAAGATTTGATTGCTTTGGATATCAGTTTTTTTAACCAAATATGTACAATAAAATGAAAATGTATCTGTATTTATATAGATAGGTCTTTTCGATGAGAAAAACTTTGGTGATATTAATTCAGCTTGCAGTGTTACAATATTAAGACATTTGTTCTAACATCTCACAAAACCTACAAAGAATTTTCCCTGTCCTTTTTTTGACTTTCACTCTTCTTCAATTGTGTAAAAATTGACATAACATCAGCTGATCCCAAAAACGAATCTAGTTTATTTTACATTCAGAATAAAGGATTTTTTTTCAGGTCTAGACATTCAAACAAAATTAAGGAAATGAAATTGTTTTTCCATTATTTTTTGGATTTATTTAAACCTGTTTCAGTACAATTTATTGAACTTAAAAAAGACTGAATGTTTTATTTTTGTATCAGAACCACAGACTACAAAAAATAAATATGATTACAACCAAGCCAGAAATATATATATTGCAGTAAGCTTTGAGGTTTTGCCTCGATGTTAGAACCAGTTATAAATTGTGACAAAGTTTCTGTATTTGTTACAGCACAAAAAGCTACAGATTCAATGCCCACCTCAGTGAGCTCACTTTTGGCTTCTCCATACACTTACACTTGATTCGTTCCTCCTTTAGGCCCCTCAGGAACACAGACATTCCGTTGATCCACTCCTCAACATTTATATAGTTATCACTGTCTTTATCAAAAGCCCGGAACACTGAAAATAAAATTGACGTACAGCCTTTATTTATTGATTTTACATTAGATGTCGATCATTGGCATGCATACCTTTTCTGAAAGGATTTTTTTTCATACAATGTAGATTTACTTCACTGCCATCCTCACTAACAATACCAAAACAGTGTTTGTTTTGCCTTTTGTTTTTTAGTCAAAACTTTACAACAAGATCCATTCGAAACTTTTCCATTTATTGAGAAAAATCAAATGTTCTTGTATCAGTTTTTATAATAGAAAGTAATATTTGTTCTGCAAAGAAACAAACATCAAAGCTTTTGCAGATGATTGCCAGGAATATTGTTTTTTTCTTAAAAATATTTGTATAATTCCTGCTATGAAACTTAGGAGGCCATTATGATTTTATTTTCCATAAAGGGATTTTTTTAGAATATTACATTGATGTTATTCTGAACCCAACAAGGCTGAAGTACAAATTCTTGAAAAGTAATTATTTAAATTTGTGTTATATGTAGTAGATTTTTGTGTCCTTTTATAAATCTGATGACAATTTTGTTTACCTCTATCAAGAAGAACATCATCTGTCATACTGAAGTAATTGTAGAGAATATCCCTGAACATGCCCCTCTCCATCCTTGCAACATGGTTCTTGTCCATCAATGTCCGACCACCATGAAGATCACTAAATTTGTATATCAATTTTTCTATCTGTTGTCTGTTAACTAGAACATAAAAATATATCTGCAAGGTAATTATATATAATACTTATCTCAATAATAACAGTGATGTGAATTTTCTGAGGATGTTTAATTTGAAAGAAACACACCAGTCACATTCCGATATATATAGGTTCACCATGACCCCATACTTCTATAACACTGGTCGGCCTTTTTTCTATCGGATATGATTTTGCCGACTGTGACGCGGAGCCTGTCAAAAGTATCTCGCCCATGTAAACCTCTAACATTGTTTGTGTACAAGATTAGACCCTCATACGATACAGCCACAAAAATTTGGCCTTATAATAAGTATATCATGCTTGGCAATAAAATACCCCGAAATATGGGATACATAAATAAACTAAATATAAGGTGTCATTTCTTAGCATTCAGTAAGATCACAAAAGGGATTGACATGTGTCCTAACGTCATCAGAAAAATATTGCATTCGTTCATGTGATGTATACATATACTCTGAAAGCAAAACTGAAGTTCAAGCTAAATTCATTAATTAATTAACAACAAAGCTATTTCTTTCAATATCGCTGTTTGAATTTGGGTCGTAATTTTTCAGGGTGCTTGTCAACCTGTTACATCCTTCTTTAAAACTTTAACTTACTTAACAGTTCCAAGTTCTGCACCATCAGGACATGCTCTATTTTCAATATTTCATATTTTAAAACTGACATTCATCACAAGCAGTGCATGGTATAAATATTAGATCCTGTAATTTATTATGTTTATTTATGACTAAGCTTACATGTACACACCCCATCACACACAGGTCAGGCCTGTTACAGAACAAAATGCAGGCAGATGGTTTTCTTAGCAATGCAATTTTGTTGAAATCGAGTAACAAATTTTGTCATTATACATACAGTGAATATCCTTTTTCTTTGAGAGTTTCTCAACTAGTTTCTGCAATTCTTTCCTCTTTGAAGTCATTTTTGGCACACTTCTTCACACGATAGCCTCAAATTCAGCACTTTTAGGGCTACTTTGCGTTTTGTTGTCAAGCAGCCTGCTCATGCGCAATTCGATCGAAAAAAATCTCCGCATACTGAAATATTGTAGGATGTGTTAATGCTTCGCCAAACAATTATACATAAGAACCACATAATGACAAAAATATATTAAGTAGTATTTGCAACACCTTGTAATTTAATGATATAAAATATTTTTTAATAATAACCAATCAAAACGAAGTGTTATTTATACTTCCGTCTCTAAAATTAGAAAGCATGGCGGATGCGGACTCTCTGCATGATATGAGCTCGGACTTAGATCAAGATCAAAGCGCTGTAGACGCTGATGTCGACGACGATGAAGTTTCCGAGCAAGGGTATGGGTCATTTTCTCTTATTGCATTATTTAAGCTTCCGACAAAAAGTCTACATTTTTCACAAGGGGCTTCAGCGGTGACCCTGCCCTTGCATGCTTGCTCCGTCACGAATTCCAGTTTGACAATCGCTGGTGGTCTCTATTTAGAACGTGGTTATTTCTTTGGTTTGCATAACATATTTGTGAATTTATCGCATTAGTATTTTCTTCTTTATCTAAAATGTTTGCTGAAAGGACACACTGTCGAAAACAGACTGGATTTGAACCTATATCATTCTTTCTCCCAAGTTCTCAATAAACAGGAAAAAGGTCACCGGCATCATAAGTTTATGCTATGTATCGTCTCAGCATCATAAACAAAACTATCTATTTTTACACATTAACACATCAGTTTATTGTACATGAACTAAACTTGACAACTTTATTAAATATGTATAGCATGAGAGTGAAAATTTACTGCCAGACCAGGATTCAAACCCGGGACCTGTAATCTCAAGACAGACACTAACCATTTGAGCTACCTCAGTACCTGGTCGCCGGCGACTGGCAAAGTTTCTTTCAGCTTCCTTCTCTAGAACTCTAGACAGCTCTAATTATATAACCATTTTAGCTACCTTTTCGCTGACATATGACCAACTCTGGTTCCTTTGCACGGGTAAATATTCAAGAAGCTAAATGTTGGGGCCCACTGATCATGAAGAAACGCCAAGCACATATACATTTTGATGAATAATGACTTTCAAAGTTATAAGGAAAGACGTTTTGTGTCTTTCTGGAGTTTTGTGGGTTATTGCTATGACTAACATAGTGTAACAGAAAAGTGAATAGTGTGCTTCCACCGTGGATTGAACCTGAGATCTCCAGGATATTACTGTATAGTCAGATGCTATAACACTGAGCTAAAGTGAAATTCCCTCTAGCTCAAAGCTAGAAGGCGACCTAAATCCTTTGTACAATTAAAATCTGCCACAACTGTCTGAGTTGCCATTGTGCACTATTTTTGGCAATCATTTGTCAAAGGTATAATGAATTGATATGAGGCAACAAAAAAGTCTTTTTTTTCTGCTTGCCATATAACCATGCTTTTAGTGTCCATTCTAGTCACCTTCACTAATTTAAAAATGATGAAGTCTGAAATGATGTCAAAAAGTATCTTGCAGAGGAAAATGTTTTGCCTACCTACACTTATATCTTATGTCAAAAGCAAGAAGCTAACTATGGCCTAATGAAAATGTTGGATTATTAGCAATGTTGAACAGTCCAATAATATGTAAACAGACGCGATAAATGAGAAAACAATGTTCCAATGGGATTTGCTGGGTCCATATTTAGGTTATGACCAACTAGCCCGAGTTTCCTCTAGCACTGAGCACACTTCTATATATGAAAAAGTGGAATTCTCCTACACCGTTTGGTATCAGGGAGTGACTAATCAGCAAAAAGACTTGGTCCGGAAATTTTCTTAACAAGAATGATATTTTCCATTTTTGTTCCGGATTAGTACGGTTTGTTGATTAGTCATCCCATGACCTGCAAAATGACGTTCGCTGAAGTGGAAAATTTTGAACGATTGAAAACCGAGGACACTACTGACGTAATTAAGCAGCTGTTAATAAGATAATAAGAGCAGATTTGGATCAATAAATAATCCATTTATCGAGATATGTGAGGTATGTGTTGTGTCATAGTACATTTTTGTTGTCACCACCTCAAAACTCCCTGATACCAAATGGTGTCAGGAAAATTCCACGTTTTCATATAGTAGTGCGATCTGGCCCCACATCAGACATCTACAATTGTATCTGTCCCAATGTCTAGTGTCAGGGCCAGAGGAAACTCGGCTTATGACTAACATAGCTCTACTTTATTTAGAAGTATATAAATATATATCATATACGAAAAATAATGTATAATGAAAAATAATGTATATATATATTTTTTTTATATATATTTTTTTCAGACTTGAAGCTGCGTCTAGGAAGAAAAATAAGAAATTTCTTAAAAAGAGGAAACACAAGGATATTGAAAGGTCAAGTGGTGACTCAGACAGTCAGATAGTCAATGATGATGAAGATCACGGTGTCAGGGTTCCCATACTGCATGACCAGAACGAACAAAACCAATCAGGAATGGAGGCTGACTCAGAAAGTCAAGGATCTGGATCAAAAGGATCAGAAAATGGACAGAAAAAGGAAGCTTCAGGAGCTTCGGGTCCACTAACAGAGGATGCACCAGAGGTTGGATGATACTTAAGATTTTAGATGATGTTGTTTACATATCAATTTGTATCTAATTAAGCATTTTGGTGTATATCCACATTTTTTTCAGTCAGACCAAATACACAGTAACTAGTATTAAACCCTACACATATATATGAACCTAAAGTAATTACAATTTTTCTGACTTTTTGGGTGCATTAACCAGATTGTGAATTTGGATCTGTTCAAGTTAGAAAATCTCTAAGCTCCATACAAGGCAACAAAACTACTCCAGAAAATCAAACCTACCATAAACCATTAACGAAGAGTAAAAGATCCCCTACCTCTGACATGAACAAAATGTAAAAGATTCCCTACCTCTGACATGAACAAAATGTAAAAGATCCCCTACCTCTGACATGAACAAAATGTAAAAGATCCCCTACCTTTGACATGAACAAAATGTAAAAGAACCCATACCTTTGACATGAACTAAATGTAAAAGATCCCCTACCTCTGACATGAACAAAATGTAAAAGATCCCCTACCTATGGTATGATTGTAACATTTTTGGGAAGCATATAGATCCTGTGCTATAATACATCGTACTGCAAAGTGCATATTATAGAATCATGACCTTTATTTGAAATATTTTGTCCACATCCTCGATTTCTATTTTGTCTTATAAATACTTATGCTTAATATCTAAAACATATATTCTTATCATGTAAACATGTAGATGAATATTCTGAAATAGATTGTCCGTGTTTTTTTCTCGCTGCATTTATGGAAATATTTCCTGTTTATAGACATCACTGTCGGGGTTACAGAGGATACAGAAGGCTGTTGAGCTACTTTCAATGACTCCAGCTGCACCTAAAAGTATGGAAGAGGCATCCAAGAAACGCTACCAGTTCTGGGAGACCCAGCCAGTACCAAAGATAAGTGAGTACAAAAACTAGTGCTAAAAATTGGAGGGTGAATCATGGACTCAGAAAAAAATGTAGGTAAAGATTAGAAAAAAAATGTAGGTAAAAATTAGAAAAACTCTTGAATACTAGATGATATAAAGAGATCAACAGGTTCTTTCTATTTCCAATACTGAAATTTCCCTTTTATTATGTTGTTAAAATTTTCCGATTTTGTTTGAAATACCCTCAGAAATTTTGCTACTTATTCTATGTCTAATTTCTTTATCAACAAAGTAAAAAACGAAAAACTGTTTCAGTGTTTCAAGGCCAAGCTTACAAAAAGTATGTAAAAGCAACACGACATTGTTTGATAAATATTCCAAATGGCAATAATTGCTTGGATTGCTGTATAAATAATTTCAGCTTAATGTTTCACTTTTATTAAGTTAACAATCATCCTGAAAGCTTACTACAATAACTTAAAAGTATTGATATTCAGAGGTGTAAAACATTGCATTTTATGTTGCAGATGAGAAGATCCAGACGAGTGTGAATGAGGCCATAGAATTGGATAAACCTGAGGATGAGATCCGGGGTGACGCATATTCCCTCCCCGGGGGCTTCAGATGGGATACCCTCGACTTGTGTGACCCCCTCATTGTAAGTTACCCCTTAACCTGAGTACATATAATCCCTTCATCTGAAAGTGAATCGTGTTACAGGTGTGCCCCTCTCCCATTATTGGATGAACTTTGACATAATTGCCTTATAATTTGACCTTTGACATGTAGATCAATCCCTTGTATTGTTTTGAGCCTGTATGCCTGAAGTTTTTGTATTGCTTCCCCCAAAGCTGGCAACATTTGCCATCTAGAATACATAGTCTTGACTTTGAAATGAAAGTTAAGCTATCATTATATTGTAGCACATCAAGTCTAGTTAACATCTGTCATTCTGTCCCCTGGCGTACATTTAGCTGTAGAATGACTTGTTACCAGTTTGTCATAATTCTTATCTTGGTTGTGGCTCTAATCATGGTCATGGCTCTAATCATGGTCATGGCTCTAATCGTGGTCATGGCTCTAATCGTGGCCATGGCTCTAATCGTGGTCATGGCTCTAATCGTGGTCATGGCTCTTATCGTGGGCATGGCTCTAATCGTGGTCATGGCTCTAATCGTGGTCATGGCTCTAATCATGGTCATGGCTCTAATCGTGGTCATGGCTCTAATCATGGTCATTGCTCTAATCGTGGTCATGGCTCTAATCATGGTCATGGCTCTTATCATGGTCGTTACTGTAATCTTACTTCAATGTATCAGAATTTATGAAAGATCATTAAAACTACAAAATGCATGTTTAATCATACACATTTTGCTTTATATGAAACACTCCAAGCATATTCACATAAATTCTCTTTTTAACTTCAGACTTATTCACTTCAGATTTCTCGTTTCTATTGTGGAACATCAGATCGAGTAGGTGAAAATGTTCTCTATCTGGTCATATGTGCAGCGTTACTTCAAACATTTAAATGATTTCATGGGGATTCATGTACTACATATACTGAAAATATGTTATATAAGGAATTGATTATAATTAAACGTGCTGCTGCTGTTTCATGTATGTTTGTGTTTATTTCCAGTTGAAAGAGCTGTATACCCTACTGAATGAGAACTATGTAGAGGATGATGACAACATGTTCCGCTTCGACTATTCTCCAGAATTCTTACAGTGGTATGTGCTGTTGTTGAATTATTTCTTATTTCACAAGGATTCCCCCCCCCC